ACATTCCTCTGGTTAGAATGTGAGTACTATTAGATTGAAACTGCTCTTTAAGCATACGTCAAAAATAAAAATATTGAAAATATTTGCATAAACAGCTACGCAAGATAAGCATCAAAAATGTTACTTTTTAATATGTTACAAAGAAACACTTGGCAGGTTTCACATTTATTGTGTGGCCTCAACAAATTACTAGAAAGGTTACTGTTTATGAAACCACGGCCATAACCCATGCGCAGGACCCAAACCTCATTACTACCATCACCTTTTGCAGCCGGTGCAGTGGAAGCATTTCCAAAATGTCAGCCGATTTGATGAGGAGTTCTCGTGTGAAAAAACAGCAACAGAAAGCTCCTCTTCATGAACAATTTGTGAGTCTTGCTCCCTCAAAAATGTGTCAGAGATGTATTAGTTTAGACAATCATTTGGCTAGAATTAAATATTTTTACACTCTGGTGACGAGAACATTGCCTGACTTACTTTCAAAAGTGTGCAGATAACCTCGCCAAGCTTGGACAACCAATTTTTAGGTTTCCTCACATAAATACATGGCTAAATTTGGAGACCTTTTAATTCCAGGCAGTAAAGAAGATGTATTAAACACAAAAAAAAGATGTTCAAAAGATCAGCTGGGGGCGGATTGATATTGGATATCACCACTTGGCTTCATAGCTTTCTACCATTCCAACAATGTGCTTTCCATCAAAGTTATTATTTGTTCCCACTGCAGTTTTAATTTGTTCTATATTTATTAGGTATTACAGATAGAAACCAGTAATCGGGCCAGAGATTTGGATGAAGAGATGGACTCAGACCTGACCCTGCAGAGACACATAAAGGTAATTACAAAGTCAGCCTTCTATCACCTGAAGAACATTTTCAGGATTAAAGGACTTATGTCCAGAACGGTGCTGTTGGCATTCTCACTAAAACCAGGAAGAGAGAGCACATCCGCTCACTAATAAAGTTTCTACACTGGTTCCATGATGCTCAGATAATAGACTTTAAAATACTTCTGTTAGTATATAAATCACTGAATGACTCAGCAGCAAAACATGTTAACCCCTGTTGTTGTTGTTGTTGTTGTTGTTGTTGTTGTATCCTCAGAACCAGAACCAAACATTGAGAACCAACAATCAGTTTTTATGCAGCACAAATCTGGAACAAACTTCCATGAAAATGCAAAACAGCTGAAACACTGAGCTCCTTTAAATCAAGGTTAAAAACTGACTTCCAGTCAGACTACATGAAATATCGATCAATATGTTGGATGTGTATTTGCTCCATGTTTTTGACGATGGCATTTGACAAATGTAAAGTTCCAGGACCTCACCTTTGGTGAATGAACGGTGAGATATTTTCTGAAAATTTATTTTTCATTTACAAACTGAGGAAAACTTCTGATTGACAAACAAACTGTGTCTGAGTCTGGAGTCTGAAAGCTTGGATTTGGGAAAGTCTTGTTGGCAGTTGGAGCCGGTTCTGCTCCGTGACATGTAGCAAGGATATTTCTGTAGAATTTACCAGTGGCACATCCAAACCTACCAGGGTGGAAACATTTGATCTTTTTTTTTTTCCAATCTCATACTAGTCATTAGACTCAGTGAACCTGGGGCGGATGGACACATGCCAGACATTCCTGAGGTGAAAATGTCCAGTTTTACGGTTCAAACTAAACCCATAACGACAGGTGACATGTCTTCCACTCTTTGTTTTATGAAAGTACAAACACATGGTTTCTGTTTGTTGCTCATATTCCACTGAGACCCAAACTTCTGAGGCTCCAGCAGAAACAGCAGCTCACCTCTGAGGTGACGATTGATGACAAACTCACTTACCGTCGCTTAATGAGACACGGAAAGACTCATCAAACTTTAAAACCAATCGCAGGAAAGGTAAACCTTATTTCATTCTCTGCCTGCCTGATCTGCTGTGGGAGTTTGACATGGAGGGCTCTGCTGATGCTGACACCAGATCTCTTCTCAAGGTTGCAACCTCATTTTTTAATAGTTATAGTACATCTGAGAGCACTTAATTATCCATTCTAAGCAGCGTGTGCTCACCCCGTTTATCATTTCTCACTCCATGTTTCAGGTTTGGGAGGCAGCTGCTACCACTATGAGCGTTAGGGATGCTGAGCTGGAAGCAAAAACTCCTCCAAACTCTCCAAAGACTGTTCAGTCTAAGCTTAACTACGTTTCATTTGACAGAAAAGGAACATTTCTCCAACATCTTGAATTTTCTCACAGTTTGAAGCTTTTGTTGGAATTTTTGTGAGAGATCTATGGAAAGTATTGTGGAAGGAAGTTTTTTTTTTTTTTTTACAAAACAGTCTTGGCTTTGATACTCCGAAATGAGCTCAAGTACAACCATTTAGAAACTTTTAAAAAATCCACGTAGGTTTTAGAAAAGGGTTGTTTAGTGTGGGATTTTAAATGTTATCAAGGAGCCAGACTCTTATAAAATCTGAAGGTGTCTGCAAGATACTTTAAAAACATGTTTTTAAGATGAACTGAAGCAATAAACATTAAATCAAACTTGTGTGCATTGTTTGCCAAGTAAACAAAATGCAAATAATGAACACAGGAGAGCAAATCATGGTAAAAACAATATTTTATGGTAGAAACTACAACGCAAACATAAAACTATATTTTAAGAAGGAATCTGAAACTATAGTATCAATCTTATCAAACTAGTATCGATCCAATACTGATATCAACTTGGTATCGATAGTTTTGGATCGATACCGATGTAAAGATTTCTACTGAATGGAGAAACCAGTCACTATGCATTCCAGTCCTCTGTTCTTTTTAAAAGATTTTCAATAAGATATAATCACCTCTTAAGACAATGACACTGCTACTTTATTGGGATTAAGCTAATAGGACAAGTGAAAAAAAAGAAATCAAAGATGATTATGATTACAACAGTAATATGACTATATGATATGTGATAATATATTATATTTCTCCTTTTTGACAGGTATAATTATGGTTCTTTCTGTGTTAGGCATGATTTTCAAATAAATTAAATGTGCAGTGTAGACTTGAACAAAAGCAACCAAGAGGATTTATTGTCCAAGTGTGTTCATTAACAAGGAATTACTTGACTTTGGTTTTCCAGCAAATGAAACCTGAAAGCATCAGCTGCATCAAATGGTGAGAACAAAGAATGCTGGGCTCATACAATGTGGAAAGATTTGTTCTTGATGTAGATTAATGAGCACCTCAGATCAACAGTGATAGATAAAGCGAGGTGTAAGTAAAGCAAAATAAAAACTTGTGTAAAAAGCAGCAGAAATCAGAAGTATGACTTTCATGTCTCTTGGATTTCTACTGCACCTGCAGAGATGCGAGAAAGATAATTGGTTCCAGCAGACAAAGAGACAAGCGGAGCCCGAATGTCTTGTTCACACGATGACTTATCTTCAGCTTCTTAACCTGTTTATCTCTCTCTCTCTCTCTCTCTCTCTCTCTCTCTCTCTCTCTCTCTCTCTCTCTCTCTCTCTCTCTCTCTTTGCTTAACTTTCAAAGGGAATTTTCAGAGACAAAAAGAGATCAAACCGGGACAAAACATCTCGCCTCCAGCGACGCAGATCAGGTTTTTGGGTTACCCAACGCGTATCTTCAACATTGTTCAATTTTATGAGAATCACATTTTTAGAGCGGGGGTCTTTGATTTTTCTTTCAAGGTGAATAAATATTTAATGCTGACCTCAGAGCAATGCAGCGTGATTTAAGGGTGGATTTCAGGAGAATTTACTGTTGCGTTCATCTTCTCTCTGTGACATCAGAGGTAGCTCGTTTTTGGCATGTGATCTGAATAGTATTACTGGAAAGAATCTCAAAGATTTCAGTATTTCTTTGTGTGTTGCATAGTTTTGTATAACTTGCAGTGATAACAAAAGTCTGTAGTCTACTTCTTCAGAGCTTTAAGGCTGAGAATGGGTTTTTACCACTTAGTTTTATGTCTAATTCCATGACATCACATTGATGTAATCCATGCACTCTTGCACTATGCACTAAGGTCAGATTAATGTGACTCATTTTATTTTATTTGCTTTTGTTTTTAGAAAAATACAAGTTTCCTGATAGTTTAAGCCATTCTTGACAAGGGGCGGTTCTAAAAAGAAAAACAGGGCAGGAATTTTAAGACTTTAATAATATTCTCAAATGGAATTCAATTAAATGCAAGAATAAATACATAGCAATATTTATTTATTTCAGCTGTTAATACATTTACAGAGTTTAACACCGTGATTTGTTGAGATGCCAAAAGTAGTCAATCTTTGAAAGAATGGCACCATCTTGTGGTAAATGTCTGCTATTACACAACAAAGTCTTCCATGTGTTGTAAACCAACCTTTCTAAAGTAAATTGAGGTTTCCTATTGGTTAATCGGAGTTGTACCGCCCCCTACCTATCTCTGATTGGTTCCTTGAAACTAACAGTGGAAGCATGTTTATGTGAGCATATTTTCGTTAGCTCCATGATAGTAACCGAAATTCGACAATCAACAGGTTAGTAACTTTGGTCAAAGGTTGTTATTACAATTAACACTTCGTAAACTATTGGACATTTTTGCATTTAAGGCGTGTATATGTATTAATATATAATATTGTAAACTGTTTTAACGACTCCTAGTTAGCACTTAGTTAGCAATGTTTCGGTTTTTCCACTTATATTCTCTTTCGAATACTTTTCTACCGAATGAGATGCCGTTCCCTAGTGCTGCAGTTCCCTCGTCGTTGTCAAATCTCTGCTGTTCTGCACCTCACCGCAAAACTCGTTTTAAATGTGGCGGTTTGCATCATTAGTTTAGTGACGACGTGGGAGGCGCCACATTAATCCTCAATGTGATGTTAAGCAGGACTCCATAAACAACAATGGCGAATAATGTTTATTTTTAAGCTGGCTTTAGATGAGAATTCGAATATTTTAGGTGTCATCTCGAGCTGGTTCGCTATCAGCGCCTCATACCGATATTTTTATACAGTATGTTGCCATGGCAACAACCACGAAGCCATAACGACAACTGCGGTCAGCGCTGACATTAGCTAACGCGATAACCGGCTGTTTTCATTGTAAACGCTTTGGAATACAAACACTAACGGCTTATTAACGTTTGCTTTTTCTTTCTTTCTTTTCTTTTTTCTACTAAACTCATTTGTTGTCGTTGACGACTGTTAGAGGACACCGTGTCGGGAGATGAACTGCAGTTAGCACCTCTGAAACCCGTCATTAGCATGGCTGGTATGTTGTCACCCAACACCGTGTTCCAGTAATGAGACACTACGCCTAACGGGCATCGTGGCCGCTTTACATGGGAGTCGATTACCAGGCTATAAAGGCACAGAAGCTACTTCGACTTAAATACACGCGTGGGGACCAGCATTAGCTTTATCGTAAAGGCAAACCAAAAAAAAAAAAAAGAAACGGCTCTCGGCACTTCTAATCGGCTTTTCTGCGTCTTATTTTTAGGGATGGGAAAGACGCCTGTGGTGACCCCTCAGCAGCTAACGAGAGGAAGGTAGTGACGGTTAAGGAGCGAGGTTGAACTGCCGTATGCAATGAAGAAGTTATTGAGCTTTACCAAGAAGAAGAAGAACTGTGGCACCTCAGACAATGTCAGCGCACTTTCTGATGGCTACGACTTGAAAGACAAGGATCTGGGGAAGATCCACAAGGCTGTCTTCCAGGGTGATTTGGCCAAGCTGAAGCCGCTGGCTAAGAAGAGTGATATCAATCAACTTGACAAGGAGAACAGGTAATCCTCACAAGTATCCTGTAAAGTATAGTGCATGAGCTGTCTGGTAGATTAAAGGAAAGCTAAATTCTTTGTGCCTTTTGCCAGTCTGTACTGTCCTCATCCAACCTGGCCAGTGTGCTTATTATATAAAGCTTGCAGCACTACGTAAATTATACATGTACCGCAAGATTTTTATGTGGAAAACAACTGTTAGAATGACCTGTTAATGTAATACAGTGCAAATGAGATCTTTTTTTTATTTAAATCTTTTTAAAAAATTATGAATCAGGTGCAAAGGTTCCCTGTCCTCTACTTAATTCCCACTTCCCATTTAATTTCTAAGCTATATGAGCAGCAGAAATTTTTAAAAATAATACGATTATCTTCATTTATGTGGCAATGCATAGTTTTAATTGAACTAAAAGGAGGAGTTTTATTTTTTTTTTTAAGTTTTGACAAATAAGGGAATAAAATTATTCGATTCAGATCCCTGGTTGATTAATTAATTTGTCTCTATTTATAACTTTCTAAAGATTCTAAAAAGAGTTTGTACAACTGTTTGATGTTTGATATTTGCATGATTCTGAACTCTTCTTCCCTTTAACAGAACTCCACTTCATATTGCGTGTGCCACCGGTCATGATGAAGTGGTTCAGTTCCTCGTTGATAGCAAAGCCAAACTTAACCTGCGTGACAATCAAAACAGATCCGCCCTGATGAAGGTAATCCTGCATGATGACACTCCGAGAGACCGCAAATCTTTTTTTGGTGTTGAATAATTGGATTTATTAATTGCATCCTCTGCTGAATGCATTCAAAGTAAAACGATCTTTTGAATAATCTGATACTCTTTTTTTTTATTATTGTTATTAGAGCAGTTTTCGTGTCTCTGGTGCTTTAACTGCAGTAACGTACACTCAAATTAAAGGTTGGATTTCTCTGTATGAGATTACACTACTGCACTACAAGATCAATTTATTATTAAGGCCTTCTAGAACTTGTCAGTTGGAGCATTATGACATTTTGCCACCTTCTTGTGTCATTACTTGCTATTGTTTCAGACCTCAATTCTTAATGTATATTGATTTTTTCTTTTTGTTTGGTTAACAGGCAGTGGAGGGCCAGCATGAACGCTGTGTGGCAATATTGCTGGAAAATCAAGCCGATCCAAATCTTGCAGACGTCAACGGCAATACGGCCCTCCATCTAGCAGCGAACATCCCCTCCATTCCCACAGCGACACGTCTGTTGCAGCATGGGGCGGAAATTAACGCGCAAAATAAGGTGATTGCCATATGAGTTTATGGTTTCTGTCAAAAATGAGTATTTTTTTTCAGAAAAGTGTGTTTTAGTCACAGTCTCTTGAGATTTTGTTCACATTCACGGCAAAGTGTTACTTCCATTTTGTCAATGTTGTTTGATCTGTGATCCAGGAGGGGTTCGCCCCATTGACCATTGCGATCCGTGAAGACCGTATTGAAATGGCCGAGTTTCTCCTGAAAGAGACAGCTGATGTGAATTGTCTTGACCACGAACAAAGGTCCGTACCGAACAAGAAACCATTTGCCAATCATGATTGTCGACGGAAGGTCATGTCGAACTGTTGAAAGCTCTTCTGCTGACGCTGATTTCATTTTCAGGTCCCCTTTAATGCTAGCTGCCTGCAGCGGTCAGCACAGTATGGTAAAGCTTCTCTTGCAGTTCGATCCAGACATCACCCTTCAGGACAAAAAAGGGTGGACAGCTGATGACCACGCACAAAAAAATGGACATCATAGGTAAGGTCAACTCAAAAATTAATAATGGCAGCAATAATTTCTGTAATTTAGGGCAGCAACAAACAATTATTTTGAGTAATCTCTTAATCTGTCGTTTATTCTGACAATTAATTGTCAGAATTAAAAAAATTGCACTTTTGTACAAATTTTTCATTTAATCACTGAATCCTTTGCAATGTACAGTATAGGAAATACTTCAAAAGAGGAAAATAAACAAGTATTCAATTCCTTTTCTGTCATAAAATAAAACTAAATGAAACTAAAACTGTGAGGAGTTTTGGATTAAATATATTTACAGGCAAAGGTGTCTTCATCTTAAATGTAAAATGAATACATGTTTGAATAAAATGAGTAGAGTTTTCCTTTTATTGCTACTTGAAATATGTTTGGTATTTTTTTCATCAAATGGCTTTTAGTTCGAGTCTGTAACAATTAATTGATTCATAAATTAGTTGACGATTCAGTAATTGATTCATCACATTTAATCAGATGAACTGTTTTGGTCCTATGGTATTTACTTAAAAAACTCTCAAAAGTAGATTTTTTTGTCACATTTATTAACAACACGAAATAAAAACAACCTTTTCAAATAAACTTTGATTCACAAAATTCACTGACTCAGTTTCACAGGCCACATTCAGGCCTGAGCACTGACCTTTCTGACAACATGAAATAAGCTAAAAGAGCTAAACAAGCAAACACATCAAGCAACATCTGATGCGATTGCAGCATTTGAGCCAAAGACTAAGCCATTTTCTTAAGAACACTGGTTCTGTTTTGGGGACTGATCTGAAAAATCTGGAGATGATTAAATCGATCTTTAGCCAGAGGATCCTGTAAAACCGCTGTAATACAGATTGCAACCTTTCTGCCCACATCCATCAGCATCTACAACAACTCTGTAAAGAAAACTGGATAGTATGAAATATAAAAAGGGATGAATTGAAGTATTTTTTATTTTTTTTACATTAAACTGAATCATAAAAAACGCATAAGGACAGAAAGTCAGTCAGCAAAGAACGCACTGGGAACTTTTACTGAGTGACTTTGGGCCAAATGTCCACAATAATACTACAAATATCATTTTTATGCCATGAGTGGCCCAAGCTGTTTTTAGGTTTAGTGTGCAGCTACTTTTCCACTTTCTTTTCCCTTTATTAAAGAAATGACATTTTAAAATGGACTTGGGATAATAGTGCAACAAAAAAAAAGAAGTAAAATCAGGAGAAACCTGTGGGTACAGATACACTTTCACAGCACCGAGTGTGGTTTTATAGTCTCTTTGAGCAACACCAAAACTAACAGTAATCTATTTTTCCATGCTTGGTATGAGCACCGTGGCATTTTGAGTTTCTTTTTTTCCCCCTCCCCTCCTTTTCAGTTGTTGCCTCCTAATCACAGAGTATGTTACCAAGAGGACACACAGGGCCTCAGTATCACGTCCAGGTCCATACAAGAAGAAAAAACCACCGAGCATTCCCTTCCACCATGAACCTGAACCAGGCTTTTCTTTGGGAGGACCAGCCACTGATAAAGGTGATACACATTTATTTTAGTTAGATAGTGAAGAAGTAAGTTTTACAGACTCTCTGTATGACTGACTGATCATTTTATTTATTCCTCATGCTTGACTGGAACTAGAGCTTGGGACAAATGAAGAAGGGGGAGGTACTATACTTAGATGAACTTTGTTAGCAGAATTAGTTTTCTTTACATTGTAACGGCCAAATTTGAGTTCCGATTAAGATCAGGCTCCTTCACACATATTACGAAATACAGAGCTAAACCTGTTGCCTCACTTTCAGCCTCTAGATGTGAGTCAATAAGTAATGTGTCAAGGAGGCTGATTGTATTTGGGGGGAAAAAAATCTGGTAAATTCCTTTCATTTTGCTACTTTTATTATGTAGTTCAGTGTGATGGTCTGTGTATTGTTTTAACTTTAAAATAATTAAAGTTGACAAAATGTGAAAAATTTTTAAGGTATACAAACTTTCATAGGGCGCTTTAAATGCTTTGAATCTCTTCTACATGTCGGAGGAATGTCTAGGTAGAGTTTCTTTAGATAATACGTTAATAAAAACGTATTTCTCCCTTGCTGCAGATTTAGAAGACAATTCATTGTCAGAGTCAGTCAGTCGGTAAGCAGAGTTTTCTTGTTGCATTCAACAATTCCATTTTACAACTTGATTTTCCTGATTGTAATTGTTCCTCCGTCCTTAGAGCTTCTAAAAGTGCGAATGATGAATGGCCCTCAACAGAAGATGATGATGACTCCTCTGCGGGAAAGGTTGGTGAGGTTTATATTTGACGCACAGCAGCCTTATTTATTAATTTTTTTTAAATCTAACTTTCATGTAATGTTTTTGAAATTTAGAAACCACTTAAAGTGAACCTAAGCCGAATTTTGGCGTCTAAAAAAGGAGAAGGTACCAAGAATCTTTTAATCATTTGTTACTAATTATAGTAGTTTGTGACTGTAATCTGTTATCCTCGCTTACCCCGTAGCTCCTGTTCTACCCGACACTTCCCTGAGTGATGCAGAATCAGAGCCACTACGTAAAACTAATGTCCCAGTAGATTCCTCTACAGTTTCCATTCTTTCCAAATCCCCTCTTCATATCTCCAGAAAGGTAAAACTGTAGTGGTAAAGCTTTACTGTGTGCTTTTTTGTAACAGCTTTCCATTCTTTTGTTGTTTTTTTTCCCACCAAATGCCAAAGAACAAGGAGATAATTCAGCTGAAACGGGGAAAGGAAAATCCTCAGAGCATAATTTAAGTGCTAATAATTCTCAGGATGAAGGTTCTGATGGAGGGGACTCTGGAGAAGATGATGAGGAGGAAGAGGAGGAGGAGGAAGAAGATGAAGATGATGAGGAGGAAGAAGGTGAAGAGGATGATAGTGAACAAAGCGATGAAGAAGAAGATGCATCGGAAGAGGAGGAAAATCACAATCAGAGCTGCTCTGCAACTGACATCAGAGCTGATAGTCAAAACACTCCCCACAGTGACTCCTCTCTGAATGCTGGGATTCCTGCTGCAGTCAAACATGAGATCAGCAAAGAAGAGAGGGAAAGAACAGACGACACCAGTCCTGATGGTGCAAAAACCTCTGCAATTCCAGCAATATTAGACATAGCAGGTGATTGCATTGTGTCTGCCATTAGGGTGGAATCAAAGTTGTCCGATGAAGAAGAGAGTGTTGCTAAGGAATGTATGAGGTCATCAGACCAAACATTTATTTCAAATCAAATCTCAACAGAAGTCCCAGTCCCGCCCGAAGTAGCTCAGTCACCCGCTAACGTTAAAGAAGTGGAGTCAGACAAAGAGATGGAACACGATGATAAAGATTCTTTGAGCGACGAGACAAATGGTGTCGACAAAGTTTGGAATGATACTGACGATGAAGAAGAAAATGAAGCAGAAGAAATTGGTGGAAGCACTTTGATCACTTGTCCGAGGAAACTGTTAGCCGACATCGGAAAGAATATCAAGTCTGACGTGGAAGATGATGCTTCGTCAAGCAGGGAAACTGTTGAGGAAGGTAAACGTAAGTCCTCATGGGGCTCTTCAGTAGAAGGAAGTGATGTCGACATACCCAAAGAGAGCGAGGCAAACATTGAGGTTCTTCAACAAGAAAATGATGTCCAACCTCCAGATATGCAGCTGGAAGAGAAGGAGGAGCAGCCTGATACTTCATGGGATTCTTCAACACAATGTGTTTTACCAGAGAGAGTTATTGATGATCCGGGTTTACCAAGTTCTCCTCAGGCCAAAAACAAACCAATCGTAGCAACTGCAGTTGAATCAGATTGGGATTCCTCTGAAGTCGAAAACCAAAATGACACTGGTGCTCAATCTGCAGTTGCATCATCATATTTAAACGAAGAAGACAATGATACGAAAGAAACGCACAAACGCTCCTTCCAAGAAGAAGAAAAAGACAGTATTGAGAAAGAATCCAATGACCCCTCCCCTGTCGTGTCAGTAGCACTTGAGTGTGAAGATGCAAAAGGCCCAATACTCTGTGATGATGGCCAGCCAACGGGATCTGCTTCACTAAAGGAAGAAAAGTTAGATTCCGAAAATGAGGAAGGGAACAGTAGCAGTTGGGATGATGATTATGAAGAGGAAAGTGATGAGTCGGACAAGAAAGAAGCAGAAAAAGCCAAAACAGACAAAATTCAAACTGTGGACAATACCGAAGAGATTCCATATTCCTACATTGACGGAAATGATGAAGCTGAAAATGAAACCAAAGCTCAGGGAGAAACGCTGGTCGTCGATGAAAATCAGAGTAAAGATTTTGAGTCGAGTGAGGATTCAGATAGCAGGCATCAAAAACTCCAGTATGACTTTGCCAGTGCTACAGTCAAATTGCTTGATGTTGGAGATGATTCTGCTGGGTTATGTGAAAAGTCAGTTGATGAAGGTGAAGCTAGACTAACATCGTATGCTCCGCTTGAAACTGAAACTGCAAGTGTTGCCAGTACAAGAGAGTCTTCTGACGAAGATCAGAGAGGGGAAGTGGTCTTTTCCAATTCATCCATCAAGGATGATGATACCAGTGGACAACACCAACTTTCAGAGGTCTCTGGTGAAGCGTTACCCCAGACTGACATTGATGATGTGGACCTAAGCTCACCCGATCGATCTGAGAACACGAGCCTGAGATGGCACGAGCTAAAAAGCACTGACGAGCCTGGTATTCAGGTAAAACAGAGATGTTTGGTTATTGGGTGTCAAATAGGATGGTTTGTATTTACATTACTTCTGCCAAGACCTTCAATATTTGTACCTATTTGTTTAATGGTTGTGAACTCAAATGTCAATGAAATGGGGTTTTAAATGCATTATCTTTTTTTCCTTAGAAACAAAATTTTACTGAAGATGAAAAAGACAATGATAGAAAAGGAAAAGATGAAAAAGACTCATCGAATGCTGATAATAAATCTCAAGACAGTGGAGACGTCCATGATGGAGTTCCAACTGTTCCAAAAGTAGAAGTTGGTAAAGATAAAAAAAGAGGTATGAATACTAACATGAAACTAATTGGAGAATTCTTAACAGTGGATGTAACCGAAACATTCAACTGAGATGTCAAACTTGATTGACTTTCAAGTTCAAATAAATTAGTTCTTTAGAATTTATCAGGAAAAATTAATTTAGAGGAAGCTAAGTTTGCTAAATGTTTGCTGAAGTCTGCCCTCCACTGTTTATCATGAATAAGTTTCTTTTTGCTAAAGAAGAGTCATGACTTCTTTTTATACCATAGATTCTCAGTGATCATGTTTTGCAAACTGACAGTATTGTTGCTATTGTACAACATTCAGTACATATATCTGAAATGTGATTAAATGCTGAAATTGTGTACTTTGCGGCTATTAAAATCACTGTTCTTGATGTATTTATTTAAAAAAAGCTCTATACTAATTAATTAAAGTTTCTATGTAGACTTCCGGTTAGAACTGGGTCTGAAGAAAGGGGAAGGAGATGAGAGTTCATGGGACTCCGAGGTATAAACAAATATGTTGCTGAACTGCTCCTGATCAGATGACTGTTCTTGTTTTTGTCGGTTTTTAGTATTAAAATTTGTTTGTAAATTTCAGTCGAATTCGGAACTTTCCAACGTACCACATAAGGAAGAGCCAAATCTGCACAGCCCAAATAGAGAGGGAGCAAATCCTGTGGAAGATTCACTCAAAGAAAGTAAATGTACACTTTTATTATTTTTCACTTTATTGATGGTTTCAGTGTTTTTTGTTTTTGTTTTTGCTTCTAGATGCAACCAAGTCATTCCAGGCAACATTCCATGCAGCAGAAATTGTGTGACTTTACCTATTTATTGTTATAGAAACATGCACTTTAATGAACGGCATTTATCCTTCTGTTTGTCTAGTGTCCGAATCTTTAAAAGTTATATATGCACAATGTAAAGTGTGTCCCTTTGAACAAAACCGTCCCAACAGTTTGTTACTTTTCTTTTTGTAGACCTGTTTTACATTCCTTCTTTTTTAAGAGGGGAAGGAGGGAGTAGGATGGCAGAGATAGAGCCTCGCAAGAATGTAGGGATGCCACAAGGCAGCCAGGGAGAGGGTACGCCTGTTTTCACTCCCGGCTAATCAGAAAACTCACCATCACGTCATTGTCGCATAAGGGGATGCATGCAGCATTCACTGCACCTGCTTGATCCTGTCAACTAGCTATAAAGTGCAAGGCACACTACGTCTTTTCAGAGCTTAGTGCCTTGTAGAAGAAATGCAAAGTACTAAAGTTCAGAAATTGAGAAAATTTTGAACTTTTTTGCTTTTTGTTGCATTATAAGAACAACCTTCGTTGGATTTTATTGGGATTTTAAATGGCAGACCAGCACAAAATGTATTGTTTTTTTTAATTTTTTTATTTTTATTTTTTCATTTTTTTACAGCACAATTTTAAACCTACAAACACAAAGCTTGAGTCTGGGGAGAAGGGTTGCCTTCCAGTAGAGCATCAAGCCAGAGTTACAGTAGAAGGGTTTATTTCAAAGCATGTTCATGTGTTACAATCTACTAAAACCAACTGAGAATCTGATCCAGAACTTGAAAATGGATAATCAGAGACACTGTATGACTGAGTGAGATATTTTGCAAATGATTAAGGGTAAAAATTACAATCTTAGGATAAGGCAGAGACACACCTAAAAGACTTGCAACAAAATCGAAAGTGCCTTAACATAGGTTGGAAGTATCAGGGATATTAAAATGATCACACTAATCAAGCTGTCAAGGTCGCTACTGGGACCCCAGCAGTCGCTGACACTACCCTCTATTTGTTTTAATCCAGACACGTCACCTAACAATCCCAACATGAGTTTGCTTTTGGCCTCACATTTCCAAGTGTGAATGTCGCCAAAATGACCTAGAGAGACGAACCCACGCCACTTTAAGTAAAAGATGAAACCTGTTCTCACCTCCTCTGTTTAATGTTGTTTTATTTAAACCAGACATAGATAGTTACTTTCATTGTTATCTTCAACCACTTGTTTGCCTTGACAGCCCCATTAGTGACCTCTACTAATCTGATTGTTCTTGCTAAAACTTATTAGCCTCATACTTTCAAGCCATGTTTAGAACTGAAGAAGCTAACTGGATGAGAAATGAAACATTTTTATGAAAAATTAGAAGACGTCTGACTGCCTCTCCCAATAAAATACACTGAAGTTTGTGGCTATTAAGGTAAAAAACAAACAAAAAAATGAAATATGAGGGAACTGAAGATAGTTGTAGGTGGCTTGTTTTAAAGGAATGTTGTGATTCAAACTCCACTAATCTTGACCATCGCCTGAAGTTGTGTTCCATTCAAAGACATCAGTTTGCATGGCGATGCAGAAACATGCTAACCTCCAGCTCATTTGCATGGGAATGCTTCTAACAGTATCCTAATTGCCTGCATCATCTGGATTTTCCAGATGCTTCCTGGTGAACTTCTTAGTAGTCAATTGAAATCACACCCTGTCTTTTTCAGCTGACAGTGACAATAAGGATAATCAAAGGGAGCTTACAACGGAAGACAATCCTGTACAGAAAAAGGTACATTTAACAGATAGAGACACAGAACCTAACTGGTATATGCTACAATTACAAAGCTCTGTCTTTTATTTTAAATAGAAGGAAAGTTCTAAAGAGCTCAGTGTTTTGATCAGCCACAAAGGAAATGTCAACATAATGGACGAGCTTGGTGTCGGCGATGTAGATGATCTTGAAGGTAAGGGGGGGTTTTGATGTCCAATGAAAGAATTTTAGTCTATTTTTTGACTGATTTCCATCAAACAAGCTACAACATGTAACGTTTTTAGCATAAGAGTGGGACAATTACTCATCAAATCTATAATCTGCAAGGGACTTTTGGAAGATGATTGCACAAAGTTCACTCTACAAACCTCTGCTTCAAAGCATGATGGTGTTTGTTTTGGATTTGTTTCAGATTTTTGCTCTCCTTACCATGAATCTATAGCATTCATCTGAGAAAACAATCATTGTTGAAATTCTTTTTGCTTTAGTGTGAATTATTGTTGGCTTCAGCAAAAGTTTTAATGTAAAAGAAAACAACTGCATATGAGCAAACGTGTGTGAACTGATTAAAAGTCTGCGTTCTTTACATGCGACATTGATTTTTGCATTGATTTTTGTTTCTGTCCTTACCCATTTTGAAGCAAAAGACGCAGGTCAGTAACAGTAAAGGAGTTTGAATGAGTTCAGATGTATTCATTAAAAACTGTATTTGCGTATTTTGCCTTAGACTGTAGCTTAAGAGTAGAAGAGAAATGGGATGTAATGTTTAACTTGACATAAACTGTACTCCATGGCTCCACAAACTAATCTTTTTTTCCCCCTTGACTTAAAGTATCTTATGTTCGTGGTGCAGATGGATCAGACTGGGATTCTACCAGCAGTATCAGTAAAAGAACCCCGACTGGGTTGAAGATTCCCTCCTCTGGCCTCGAGGAGTTTCAGAAAGACGGTGGTCTTCCCAGAACCTCAACACCTAAGAGGAGCAGCAGCTTTGGGAAGAGTCTACCCAGCACGTCCTCCATCTCTGCTCTGCTGCTCCAACCTCATACAACGAAGATAAATTTTCAGACGCCAGACGAAGAAGGTAAGTTGGTGACTTTTTTTTCTGCCATGCGTATCCCGAGTATGCATATTTAACATGCAAGAGTTTTTATCTGTTTCTTTATCCCACAACCAGATTCAGATAGTGAGATAGAAAAGACTAGAGGCTCTCAAGAAAATTCTCCTGCAGGCAATCGGCGACGGTCAGCGCAGGAACCTGGTACAATTTAGTAGTCCTTTTTAAGATTACCTCTATGCCCGCACATGCCCAGTGTTCTGGGTACTGACTCCATCTTCTCTCCAGGTACTGCTGAAGAGGCAGAAAACATTCAAGAAAGTTCGGATTATGAAGTGGAAAAGGTGAGAAATGTTGATAGAGTTGTCTGCCTCCTCAATTCAATTCTCCTTTTTAGCAACATCTTCCCCAGTTTAAGTGTCTTTCTCTTTCTGAAAATGCATGAGCAAGACATATTAGCGTGAAATGTCTTTGATGACTTCTAATTTGGAATATCTTGGAACATTTTTAGCAAAAGCAGAATATATTTTTTACAAGGTATATCTAGCGACCTAACTGTACTAAAGTGTTTCTGGCAAGAAGCCACAAATGTACAATATATTTGTAAAAATATTTTGAACTTTCTCACTCTGTCAAAAACTTGAGATGTGATGGACCAAGAGGGTGCATTGCCTAAATTATTCATTGTACGGAAAATGATTGCAGGCTTTTGTGTTATGTCTCTACCAAGGTTGCAATTTTCGAGATGGAAAGTTTTACCCAGTTCTCGTTTCAAAGTAGACAGTTTGAACCAGGGGTGCACTGATGAATAGGCCCCAATTTCCTTAATTTTGGGTGATTGGTCAATAATAAGAAACCTGTTCACATCTACACATAGGCGGAAGCTATGATCACCATTATATTTAGTGACTTATCAGACTAAAAACAACGGTATCGGCCAAAGTCATAATTGCCAGGCCAAATATTTTAAAGATTGGTGATTGGTCAAAAAACGCAATTGGTTCACCCCTAGTTTGAACATCTCAAGTGGATTCTATGTCTACCTTGTGTTCTGGATATTATATCAAAACCATTTTTTTGTTTGCATTTCTGTCTTTTTTGTTGTTGTTTTTGTTTGTTTGTTTGTTCTGTCTTGTCAAATCACATCATCAAAGGAGAAAGATGATGCAGTAGATGGATGTGAGTTCAGTTTGAACAACTTAGGCCATGCAGGCTCTGACACGGAAGAAAAGGTAGGTGGAGATACTCCGTGGGAGAAGCGTTACGAGAAACTCTGGGTAGAGGTTGAGAAAAGGGAGGTAAAATCCACCTTTAAGAGCGTCACTGGGGAGTTAAAGGAGAGGTTTGGCGAACTTTTTAAATCAAGGGATCCTGCGAAAACCCCCACGGAAGACACTTCTCCTGCGTCCAGCTCTACGGGTGAAGATTCAAGTGACGAGGAAGAAGAGGACATCGTTCGCCCCACAGCTAGAGCAAGAAGTATTGTTCTTCTCACCATCCCTGAGCAGAGAGAGTCAGGACAGGAGGAGTCTATGGCAGAGTCACCTGGCAGCTCCTTGTGTGAGGAAACACTACCGGACTGTGATCAAGATGTGAACGATAGCTTTATCCATCATAAGTCAGCTCTACTCACAGCTGATGTCGAGACCAAAGCTTCATCACAGCTTACCGCCGCACAGGAAGAAAGCGAAGACGATACCGATCGATACAGCAAACCTGCTTCAAAGGATAACGGCGTAGCTCTGCTTGCTACTGACTCTGCTGGCCGTCTACATGAAGCTGGTGGGTCCAATGCAGGGTCAGAAGAGAGTCTGACGTCTGAGCTGGCCTTGCAACACAGATGTCCAGATGTCTCTAATGGAGAAGGGCCTGAAGAAGAGGACATGATGAGGTTTGATCCTGAGGTAGGAAGGCTGGGAATTGTTTTCAAAGCAAAGGCCCAGCCCAAGAAAGCGATGTAGGATTGCTGCTTTTGACGCAGTTGCTTCTGGACTTCGTCTTTCTCTCTCTTCCTCGGTTTTTTCAATACCTAAATGTGTTTCTCTTTCTTCTTTCAGTTGAGGCTTATAGCATTATGACCCTATTGCTGCAGTTACATGTCTATTTCTTGTCACGTGTTTCATTTAATATAGATCTGCTTGGTTCACTTATACCCACCTTAACTTCTTGCCATTCTAACCAATCAGCTGTGGACCCTTGAGTGTTTTCTGAACAGCTGTGTGGCGACAAGATTATTTGTGAAAGTCAAAAATTGCAGATCTTACGATTAGATTTATGCAGGGTGTCCACACATCCTTAAAAAAAAAAAACTTAAATTTGTGAGTCTAAATTCATGTGTCTAAAATTGAGGCCTGAAAATGTCAATTAATTTAAAAAAGTTCAGTTGGCCTTAATTAAGTAAATCACAGCTTTTTGAAAATGCAAAATCAGTTCTGTACATATAATGTACAGTAAAATGCTGCATCTGGGACAGATTTTCAGACAAAATATGCTAGTGACTGGCCAGCTACTCTAAAACTACCAGTGGTCCACACTTGTGTGCTTTTTATTTGTAGTCTTGTGTCATACATGTGCATTGCATGTATGATTTACACTGAAAATGTCTGTCAAAAATGTGTGAAGTTTGCATGAACAATAGTTTTCTTTATTGCATGGAATAAGTTTTATTTTCAGTTTTGATTTCCCTTATTATGCATGCTGTGTGTTAGTTTTTACAGTCAATCTTTTGAAGAGTTTTTATTATTATTTTATTAGTTTTTTTGGTGTGTCAATTCCTTAAAGGACAGAATAAGAAAAGGAAATAGAATCTACTATTTGTATTGTCAGTTTATTGTTTTTAAAGAAAACGACAACCAGCAGTAATACTTAAGCTGATCGCATTGTAAAAAAAAAAAAAAAAAGTTAATTATTTGAATTTCTTTCTTAGACAGGAACCCAGTTCCTCCATTATTATTATTATTATCATCATCACCATCGTCACAGTATTACTTTTAAGTAGTAATACTTAAAGGTGTGTTGACTTCAGTAAATTATTAGAATATTAGGTTGACATTGAGCAATAGCAGAGTGGATGTTGTAGATCAAATTCTTAATTTTAACTATTCAAGAGTATTCAAACGTCTTGGGTTAGTTATATAGTCTTAAGTAGTAAGGACTTATTCACATCCCTTGAGCCTTTTTGCATTTTGTTCTAAACCAACCACAAACTTCAGTGTATTTTATATGTGGGGCAATAATTTAAGAATAATCCTTAAAATGAAAAACCAAAAACTTACATCAGTGAATATTTGCGTCTTAAAATGAATGAAAAAGTTTTCATCTGCATCAACTGCCTCAAATTTGCACCATTCTTCACTTGTGAGCTTATTACAAAATCAATGTATAAATTCTTTTTTCCTTCCACTTCTGTATTATTCACTGGCCTATTTTGGTATATCGCTTAAAATCACATTAAAATGCATCAAAGTTCCTAGTTGTGATGTGAAAATGCTTAAAGGTGCATAATTACTTTTCCTAGGTAATGCAGTTCCAATAGACTCTTAAGTAGAAACAGCTTCAAGATATTAGGTCTCCAGTGGGCGGGGCGACGCTGAATTATGTATGATAAGGAGCACGAACACGGATCCAAACTGCATGTTAAAGTGCAAGCCTCGGCCTTCCTCAGCTGGACCGTTCTCTCCTGCCAAGTTCATAAATCTTGCATGTTTTTTTATGTTGTTTTTCAGATGGCCGGCAAAACAGGTGCTGTGACAAAGCATCGAAAGTCGTTATTTTACCGCGATGCCAGTGAAGCAGGTGGTTCGGAGAAGCCTGGGACCAGTGTATGTTTAAGTTTGGTTCAAGCTGGAAGATCTAATCAGGAATATGAGTTTGATGCCAGGTATTCATTCATTTTGCTTCCCAGCGAAAATACTAATTGAAAGTAGCCATTAGAAATTGGTTTTATATTGAGACTTTGTGTACAATCTGTGTGGCTGGTTTCTTTTTTTTTTTTTTTATTCTGTATGATTTAACATTAGTTTTAGACTGTTTTTCAGTGAAATGTGGCAGAAGCTACCACATTTCTTTGCACCCGTGGTAAAGATGAGTAAGAAAAAGCCTAAAAATGAATTTGTCATTTGACTCCCAACACTCGCACCGAGTAACTAATTGCATCTTGAGGTCGCCCAGTTTCCATAACAAATTGAGTCAAGATAAAGTTAGGAAAGAACTATTTTGTGTCCTACAATCACAAAAATAAACATGTTGAATTAAAAAAGCAATCTACTGGAGCTTTGGTTAGATGATAGGATGAAGCTTCATTTATTTTCTGTATTTTCAGGCTTTCTACACAAGATTTGCCAAGAGTGCAAATAATTCTGCCCGGCCGTTTAAGGATTTTTGTTTTATTTTGGTGTGTTGGTTTCAGTGTGTGTTTTCTTTTTCATTTCAACCAAAAGCCTCAGTCAGTCACAGTTCAATGAAAATCAGGTTTATTGCTCTCCATAACACCAACAGAGCTCCAATCGTACAGAGCTGCAGTGGCATAAAGCAAGGTGGAGAAGGGAAATTACAGCTTGAGCTGATGGTCCATTGGGCCCGGCAAAGTGGAGGCCCTCAGGCCAGCATACAAGTTGATCGACCAACCGCACATGAGGTTGGGGAAAGCCCTATAAGTGACATATCGGACGATGAAGAAGGCGACAGGTATATATGCAGGACGCCACTTTCCTACATCTGTCTGTGCCACTGATCTATTTGGTGTTATTAACCCGAACGCTAGTTATTGGAAACAAATCTCCCTCTCCAAAACTTGTGGTTGATAGGTCAACAGAGTATAAAATTGTTAACTAGGGCTGCAACAGACAATTATTTTAGTAAATGAATTTCAATTGGGTGATTCTAAAAATATGCCACTTGAGGAATTCTGGGTAGAACATGTTTACAGACAAAGGTATTTGTTTTTATCTTAAATGCAAAGTGTATTAATTTTTTGTACCGTTTTCGCTTAATTACTCCCATGAATATGTTGGGGGTTTTTTTCCAGCATATTCCCCTTTTTTGAGTTTCTGTACTCCAGTTAACGATTAATCGATTACTAAATCAGTTGACAATTACTTCAATTAATTGATTAATTCAGATTAATTGGTTCTTCCAGTCCTACAATTTTGAATTCTACAGAGTAATTGTTTTTTCTTTATTCTACTTAACAATGATTTGAATACTAAATTAGTTGCCAATTATTTCAGTAGTCGATTAATCACAAGTCGATTAATCGTTTCAGCCCTACTGTTAGCATAGGATGCGGTAAAAGTATTTGCAGCCTTCAACTTTTCTTCTGTTTTTGCTTTGGTTATTTGTTTTCAGCTCACCACCCAACTTCAAAAGTCAAAGATAACCTGAGTAAATGCAAAGTTATGTTTTCATTTAGTTAATCAGGTTTGATATGAACAATTGATCCCTAAACTGAGTAAGTGATTGAGCCCACTCCAGGCAGCAACAACTGCCTTGAAAAAGGTTCAGTAACTTGCACAATATCTGGCAGACAATCGTGAAGGACAATGGCGTTGTCGTTGATTTAAAGCTTCCTAAAGTTCTATGAATAGCTAAGAAAAACAAAGCTTCCAAATGCTTTCAGAAGTTGTTGCAACTAAGAATGATACAGTCAGTTTCAGAGGCAATTGTCACCATAGGAACCAAGAGGGTTCGGATAACGTTTTTCCCTTTAGGATTAAAGTGATGATTAGAAAACTGCGTTTTACATTTACTCAGGTTGTCTTTCTTTAAGTTGGGAGGGTTTAAGTTGTGATAAAAAAAACATAGAGGGGGCTTCTTCTAACATTTCATCTCTTTAATTACACTGCAGAAAATAGACAAATATCCACAATATGCAACATAATACTTCTAACACTTCCAAAACATATCTCATTTTCAGTTCTTTATTGCTTTTATAAGTCGTTAAAATGTCAAATTTGCTTTTATCAACCAAATCAGAAATGCCTTACATTACAGGAAAAGCTTGCAATTGCTGTCTCAACATAGTATTTTCACTATGTTCATGCAAATCTTTAGAATTACTTTTTTTTGTTTTTTTGTTTTTGTGTTTGTGCGGCTCAGGTCTACGACTACAGATCAACGGAAAAGCAAGGTACAAACAACCAGATTGACTACATAACTAAGTGTTGGATTTGAAACAAATAGGGGAATAATTTCATCATCATTTTTTTATTTCCAGGTCCAGAGTCTTGAAGACATAAGCATGCCTGACGATCTAGAAGAACTCAGCCAGTCGTCCGACACAGACGATGCGGACTCGCAAATTTCAGGCTACCGTAATGCAGCCTCCTTCATGCAGAAGCTGGAGTCATTCTCTTTGGGTAATAAGCTTGCGCAATGCATGAAGAGTTATTTACTTTCCTTACTTTTTGTTGCAAAAAAAACAAATGGACAATCTAATTTTGTAGATAGACACAGACAGATGGACTGGTTGGCATCCATGGTGAAGCTCTGTCTAAAAATAAGTGTGTTCTTTTATCGGAGCAGAATTGAACTGAAAAATGTAGATATCAAATTTGAACACTTTTATTATCTGTTAATGACACTGTTTTTAACTAATTCACATGTGGCACAAATTCTAGCAGTCATTTTAATGGATGTATGTAAAACCTTTTTAATTACATTTGAGCTTATTTGAAATCAACAGCTTTCTTTTAGCTGTTCACTGTTCACTAAACTGGATCATTGGGATCAGTTTGGTGGCCTGTAAACGAAAAACGGACATGGTTCATCTCTTGGTCCAAAACATACGGCCAAATCAACGAGCAAAGGGTTCACCGGACACTGAGTTGACCTTCTGTATTTCATCCCCCAGATCCCACGACTATGACAAAGATACAGAACATCTTCCACGAGTACGAGCGTTCCATTGAAAAAATGCGAAGTCGCCATGGCTATCTGTCAGAGAAGGTGAACCAGCTGGAAGCGGAAAGAATGTCGCTGAAGAGCTTACTGGAGGAAGTCAGAGACGCTAAGGCCCTTCTGGAGCGCAACCAGCTGGAAATACAGACTGACCTCACAAACATCAAGTGAGAATTTTTTTGTTGTTGTTGATTTTTGGGCCAACTTTCCTCTGAACTTTTCTTTTTTTTTTTTTACACATTTATTTACTTGATCTCTTTGTGTTGCACTTGGTGTGAAGATTTCAACTGAAACAAGAGCAGGAGAATCGCCAGAATGCCTCCATGATGTACGACTCCACCAAAGACAAGCTGAAGCGGGTGGAGGAGCAGCATTTGTTTGAGGTTGAGGACAAGCAGAAGGTGGAGCTGACACTGAGGAACGTGGAGCTGGAGATGAGAACGCTCGCCAGCAACTTGAAACAGGCACTTTGTTTTTATCTGCCCAACACGGCGACTGTTTATTAAGATTTTGTTTTCTGCTAGAAATGGAGATGTGTGTTATCGATTAATAAGTTAATCTGAAGTTGATCGATTCTATCAATCCACTTTCGATTAATTGGTAAGCAGCCATTTTCTTTTTTTTTATATCAAAAGGGACGACCATCTATATTTTTTATGCTGAATAGAAAGAAAATATGTCTTTATATTTCTATAACTTTTGTGTCAGTAGTGTTAAATACTGACTGAAAAATCTGTGGAAATTGCAGAATTTTTTTATCTGATTAATTGTCAGCATAATAAATACGATAATTGATCACTGAAATAATTGTTAGTTGCAACCCTTTTGCGTCCCTTGTTAAATACACGTTGCCTATTGTTAATTACTGACTGAAAAATCAGCAAAAATTGCCAGGGTTTTTATTCGATTAACTGATTAATCGTCACCATATTCGATCACGAAAATAATCGCTAGCTGCATCCCTATTTGCTTGCTCTTTGCTTGCAGGTGTGTGTATGTGATTCTAACGCCTGTGTGTGATATGTTTAACGCTCAGCTAGAAGAAGAGCAACATGAGACTCAGAAGTTGCTGGCTCAGGAACGCACCTCCCGGGCCCTGCAGGAAAATCTGCTCAACAATCACCTCCGAAAGCAGAAGGAGATAGAGGCGGAGAACAGGAAAAGCATCACCAGAAGCAATGAGGTGATTCTCTAAATTTCAATCCGATCTTCTCAGGATTGTTTATTTAATTTTTTTCCCCCCCAATACTGTTATTTGTTTTGCTTTTTTAGTCACACAATCCAGACCGACTTACGGTGATGTTTTGATGTTTTTGTTGTGATGTGTTAGGCTTTGTCTCAGCTCACCGAGGCCGGCGACAGGGAAAGAGAGCTGCTTCGTCAGAATAGTTCTCTTCAGGAGCAGCTGGCCACGTTAAAGGCAGACTTCGAACATTCCCAGGCAGACATCAAACTCAAAGAGACCACCCTCGAGGAGGAGAAGGAGGCCCTCAAGGAACAACTCGAGGACATTCGTCAAGACCTCCAGCACAGCAATGAAACCGTGACCCAGACCGTGTTCACTTGCAACAACCAGCTGGCGGCCCTGAAGGCTGAGTTGGTGAAAACCACGAGCCAGCTGGAACACGAACGACACGCCCGCGAGGCGCTGGAGACCGAGGCCGAGTCGACTCGGTCTCGCTTGGCCGCAGCCGTGAAGGAGGTCGAACTTCGCCTGGCGTCTCACGCAGAGACAGAGAAAGTTCTGCTCAGAGAGAAGGAAGAACACCAGAGACAGAAAGACCGACTCGCACGTGAGTGGAGAAGTCCTCCGGTCTGTACATACAACTTTGCAGAGCTGCAGCTAACAGTTACTTTAGTCATCAATTATTCTGTCGATTAATAGGATAAAATGAAATTGGCACTTTCTGGTTACATATTTACAAAGAGCGACTGTTTTATATCTTACATGTAAATTGTATTTAATTTTTTGTTCAGTTTTGGCTTAATTACTGCTGTGAATATCTTGTTCTTTCAGTAAATAACCTTTTTGAGTCTGTATTCTCCAGTTAACATTAATCACTAACTGGAACACCAGAGAATTTTTCCTGGAGGAAAAATTAGTGAACATGTTTTTTACTTAATTGATTAATAATGGTTTTTCAATTGCTACATTAGTTGATCAATTATTATTAATCGACTAATTCACTCCTGAAATAAGAGTTCTTTCAATTAATCAATCAATCACAATTAATTGATTGCGTCAGCCCCACAATTTCTACTCTTGCTTTTTATTTACTTGCCTGCAGTGTGCATTTTACAATGACTCTTTAGTCTGGTTTTCCTCCTAATGCAATCCACATCTCTTCTCTCTGAGAAGATGGTAAATAGATAAGCAATTTTATCACTTATATATATTTTTTTAGACGAAATAACCATTCAGCGCGAGGCAGTCAGCAACCTGAAACAGAAGCTGGCCAAGGCCGACGCTAATACAAACACCATGGAGAACGACATGCAGCGGGTCTCTGCGCAGCTGACGGAGAAGAATCTGCTGCTGGACGCCCTGCTGAAAGAGAAGGACTATGGCATGGCACGTGCCAAGGAGCTCGAAACGACTCTGCAAGCAGAGAAGGAGCTGTCCAGTCGCAGCATAGCACGCCAAGAAGCAGCGGAAGAACGCCTCGCCCATGCCCAAAGCGAGACCGTGTTGCTCCGGCAGCACCTGGAAGAGGCCCAGAACCAAGCCGCCGCAAAGGAGCGCGCCATGACCGAAGCCCAGGAGCGCTTCAGCGACATGCTGACCAAGCTGCGCGCTGACTGTGAACAAAGAGTTCACCTGGTCGAGGAGAGGAATAAGGAGCTCGCCAGCAAGGCTGCTGAACTTCGTGATCTGAACATCAAGTTAGAGGAAGAGAAGAATCAACGAGAAGTGAGACTGAGGCTGCGTAGCCTGACTAAAAGTTCTTCAGAACATCTCATATTCCCTCCTGTAGGCCTGCTGAGATGCTTCTTTATATCTGCTTTCGTTTCTTTCTGCACAGAACACTGTAAGGCAGCTGCAGCAGGAGCTGGCCGACTCTCTTAAGAAGTTATCGATGTGTGAAGCTTCCCTGGAGGTCCTCACACGCTATCGCAACGACCTGGAGGAAGAGAAAGCTCGGCTTGTCAAAGACGTCGAAAGACTCAGAGAAAAGGTGACTGCAGGACGCAGCTCTCTTCTCTGAAGCGTGATTTATTACGAGACGATCGGTTAATAAATCTTCTGCTGGAATATGATAAACTGCAATCACTAAGTTGAAGTTTATTATGAGATCAGGGTCTGGCAAATGTTAAAACTGGTTGAAATTTTTTTTTTTTTTTCACATCTTACGGCAGTGCCAATACTACGTTTTAAGTAATAGGCAAAACATGTTTTTTCAAGTTTTGTTTAAAAAAACACACTCAACATCTAAGTGCAACATATATTTCTATTTAGCTCACTTGAGTCAAGAGTTCAGAGAAAAACATTTTACTGAAATTGTCAATTACAGCAACATTGAAATTATAGTCAGTTTCTGGCCTGTCCTGCTACCAGTTGTGAAGTGAACCCCCAGACCAGTTTTAGGACTAATTTAGCCTCCAGCTGGTGTTTTTTTTCTCAGTTTTGCCCTGTGTTTAGCTTTAAACTAGATTTTCCTCTGCATGATACCACCATCACCATATTTCACCATTGGAGTAGTTTATTTCATGGGGCCGTTTTGGGTTTTTGAAAGTGCATTTCAGCTTTGGTTTTCTTTCCTCCCACCCATCATATTTGCAAAAGATTTTGGAAACCAAGTCCGATTTCTTTTTTGTTCTACTGAAGAATTAATTACTTCCATTTGGTAAGTCGTCACAACAACAATCATAGTTTTACATTAAGATGTAACAAGAACTTCAAGAAGATTTTTACGACTCTGTTTATGACATATTGAGTTGATCAGAAGATTAATAGCTCTGATATTAATCCTCTGTATACACTTTACATAAACCATGAAGTACACTTTTTATCTTAGCTCTTGAGTGTTTTGTTTTGTCTGTATCACTTAGCTTGAAGAAACCGAAGAGAAGTACCTCCAGGCAGAGCGACACATCAACAGTACGAAAGTCAGAATTGACAGAATGGAAAAGGAACTTAGCAGTACCATCCATAAACTCCAAGAGGCGGTGGCTTCCGTCGTGGCCTCTGAGATCACCACCAAACAGTTGGAGGAAGCAATGCAAAAGTAAGTGCAAACACACGGCTTCAACACAAGCGCTGATTCATAGCAATCCTTAGTATTTATTCTTAGAGAACTGCGCATTTGCAGTTTTGACATAAAGTCTACAAACCATGTGATTAGATACTATGTGCAGATTTTCTTCTATAATGTTATGGCTGGAACTAACGATTATTCTGATGATTAATCGATTAATATGTTTTGTTTAAAAAGCACATTCTACAAGTTTTTAAGCCTTTTTTGTACATTAGAAATATATTAAGATAATTATTTTTTTTCAAATAACAAAATGTTTTATTACCTAAAATGTAGCAACATAGCATTCCTGCAGTAAATCTGAACCTGTTGAAGCTAAAACTAAAACACTTTGAGAATTTCTGCTAAAATATATTTAAAAAGAAGGTTGGTTTTTTTCTGAAATGTAAACTGCATATATTTTTTTGTACTTTTGGCTTTATTACAGCTGAATATGTTGGTTTTTCACCAAATGCCTATTTTTTGAGGCAGCTTTATATATATATATATATATATATATATATATATATATATATATATATATATATATATATATATATATATATATATATATATAAAATGAGGCCTGATTAATAGAGAATGTTAATGTCGCCCAGCCTGGAGGTCGAGAACGCCAAACTGGAAGGTACTACGAAGCAGCAGGCTGATAAAATTGAGGCTCTTCAGAAAAGTGCTGAGGAAGCCGTCGTGGTGAGTAACTTCTTCACCTGCTCACACACGGTTTCAATGCTCCACGTCTCTTGACAGCTAAAAGCTGTCATGCAATTCTGTTCAATCAACTGTCTGAGTTTATGCATTTAAGTCAGTTTTAAACTTAAAGGGCATACAATCTTTTTTCAGCTAGCTGACTGCTCACCTGGAGGCGGGGTCAGTATTGTGACTGTAGGCGTAGTTGCTTTATGTGGGGTTCTTCCTCTTTGTACACTGATTCATTTAATCGTTTTTTATTTTTAACTAGAGATAAAATGATTCTCTCAATGAAGTAAAATATAACATGCTTTTAGTGTCAGAACTCCAAGCATATGTGGGAATAAATATCCTGGTGATGGAGAAATGTCTTTCATCTCCCAGTTTTTTTATTTATTTATTTTTTTTTATCTTTTGTCTGTGGTGTCTTTCTTTCAGTTGTGAATGTATTCCTGATTAATGCATGTCACTTCCTTTAGTTTGCTTTCAACTTTCTAAAATCCTAATTTGACTTTTTTGCAGCAGCAGTAGCAGAAACACAAAGACTATTTAATTTTTTTGTTTTGTTTTGTTTTGTTTTTAAATCATGTTTTTTCTTTAGGTCCGTGCACATTTGGAGGAGTTGGTATCAAACCTCCAAGGCCAGAAGATTTCTTTGGAAGAACAGCTGAATAAAGAGGTGGGTGGCTTGTGCTGTTAGTTCTTCATAAGTTTCAGTTTATTGGTATTCATAAATAATGAAAATGAAAAAGAAAGTTCAGGACCAACAAAATGACTAAAAATAAATTCTCATCCTAATTCCTTAGTTGATGTCATAGGTTTACATACACTCAATTGTAGAGGCTGACATTATTTTTATTTGACTTTTTTTTTAATTTTATTGGATTTTCTGATCAACCCACTATAAAGCAATAACCTTTAAGTAGCTTTAGCATTCTCAGCAGACTTCAGTATAGGGAACTTGCTCTAGTGTAGCAGGGAGCAATTGGGACGTGAGCAAACTCGTGCATGAGCTTTAAAGGTTTAAGGTTTATTTTCAAAATGATTTAAAATTAGCGACATCCATGCCTACAAGTCTGAGCAGGACTTTGAGCTTGTGTGTTTTTCTTCTACAGTTGCACAAACAGAGCATGCTGTCTAACACCATGCAAGACTCTCAGGTCCTGTGGGAGGAAGAGACAAAGAACCGCTCAAAGTTAGGACTGCGCATGACAGAACTTGAAAGAGAAAAAGCAGAGCTTATAAACCAGGTTTTCACACTGATAATAATCTATGCATGATATGATGGTTAAGTGTCACTCAGTTGAGGTGAAAAGGGTCACTGAGTTGTTCATTCTGGTGTAGATGGAGACGGAAAAGAAGAAAGCCAAGAAAATCGCAGAGCAAAAGAAAGCGGTTGACACTCGCCTCGATCAAGAGATGAAGAGAAACACGGATCTTCAAAAAGAAATGCACAGGTGACTTTTAAACTCTTTGGATTCTCATTGGGCGGTGGGTCATCCTGCTGTTTAGAGCCACCTCGGATCCACTAGAACCAACTTCTTGGCTTTGTGGTCCACCAGTGTCTGTATCCTTTTTAAGTCTCCATTCAGTTATTTTGTACATTCAATCAGCCTAGTCTTTGCAAGTTTAGGATATTTTACTTGATGCGTTAGATATTCACTCTGTACGTTTATTTTTAAGGCAACGAACTTTATTAAAAAGTGCAAAGAAGAAGCTGCAGGGTCAAGAGTCTTATTCGTCTATGAAGAGCCCTCACAGGCGACCGAGTCAGGCTGATGGGTGGATGAAGGACAAGGTTTGTGGGTCTGATGCTGGCTTCAACGCAACCCAATGCACTGCTTATACATTACATTTTTGTTTATGGATTCAAAAAAATCAAAGACCATTTGACTGTTTTTCTTTGACTCAGTTCACACCAGGATTCTAGACCTGGGTTCTGAGGTATTCAGCAAATTAGCAGAAGCTATCGCTATTATTTCACGCAAAAATATTAGCTCTGTTATCGCTAAAGCGCGAAACATAAAGAATTAGTGGACGCTAACACTAAACTGCTAACAAAAAAAAGATAGTGGAAGCTAATTCTAAACGCAGAACATGAACAGAAGCTAACGCTAAACTACTAAGCAGAAAAACACAAGAAGCTAACACTAAACTAATGAGCACAAAAAAAAAATTGTGGAAGCTATTTTCCACACGAGACTCGCAAACAGCCAAATCCTCTGTTTCTTATTGTACGACATATCATCATTTTGAAGTTGCATGAACAGGATGACCAAAGTCAAACATGTACAATGTGTAATATTTATGGAAAAATTGGCTTGAAAGGCACAAAAACAGCCATCATCCTGAAGTGGCTAATGGGACATAGGCCAAACATGTGACATGAGGGGTGAGCAGGTTAATTTTTATGCTTGTATCCACAGTCAAAATATTTTTACAGCAATATGCTGCCCTAAAGACAAGTGGTTTGCCCCGAATTTTAAATGAACACCTGGGCAGTGCATCGCCTACAATCTCCCCTTGCTTCTTGGTCTTCAAACATCCCCTCTGTCTTCAGGTGGAGGATCTGCAGGCAGCGCTGGAGAAGGAAAAAGCTCGTCGCTACCAGCTGGAGCAGATCAACGAGGAGCTTCAGGACCAGTTGGCCTCCCTGACAGGCGTGGGCAGACACCACGGCGAGCTGGAGAGAAACAAAAAGCACCTGGAGAGCGAGTTGCTGGAGCTGAGGCGCCAATTGGACAGCGCCCAGCCCGACCAGAGCGTGCTGGATCAGTACCGACGTGAAGCAGAGGAAAAAGCCCACCAGGAGGTGCAGCAGAAACTTGAGCAGGTCAACCTCTTCCTACAGGTAAAGAGCTGAGAAAAATCCCAACAGAGAGGCAATCAATTCACAACAGCAGGAGACTGACGTCGCACTGTGATACCAGTGGGATTAACTACGATCTGTGTGTCTCTCAGTCCCAGGCGGCGTCTCAGGAAGCGCTAGATGAGATCAAAGCCGCCAACGAGGCCAACCTGCGCTCCCAGCTGGAACAGAAGATCCGGGAGCTGGAAGGGGAGCTGAGCCGAGCCCGCACCATCCATCAGGAGGCAGTCAGCCAAAAAGAGTCCACGCGCTCAGAGCTGGAGCGCTACCGACACCTCTACAACGAAGAGATGCGTCTGCGGATGTCCTTAGCTGCCAAACTGGAGAGGTTAAAATGCTTATCAAAGAAGACTGTTTTGCTTTGTAAAAATAATTAAAACAAAAAAATGAGTTTGGTAAACTGGTAAACGCTTGTTAGCAAATCTTGAGCTGCTAAAAAGATGGTAGTGATTAGCTTTTTCTTGTTTCCCATGAACAGGGCCAACACCCGCCTCTCCGAAGCCAACTCCAAGTTGCTGAGTGAGCGCAGCAGGAGTCTTATGATGGGAAACATTACAAGCGGGAGCCTGATGGGACCTTCTCTGGACATGAGTGCCTTGGCTACGCCAGCCACCCCCGGGACCTCAATGGGGGCCCTCAATAGGAACACGAGCGTGGGATATTCCCTGCCCAGTACTGAGTCAGACGGACAGAACCAAAGGGTGGAGGACTACCTGGCTAAGGTCTGCCCAGTCCTTCATCTCTCACTCACTTATAGAGATTAAAGAGGAAATCTGTGTTCTTGTATATTCCTGATTTCATTTCTTAAGAACGAGTTTATGTAACTGCGGAGATGTTGGTGATAAATAGTGACATCTCTGTAGTTTCACCTCATAGTCAGAGACGTGTGTTCGACGAGTTACATCAGCTCACCCAACAAACACTTTAGGCTCTGTAGACTTTTTTGTTTGTTTGTTTGTTTCTTCCTCCTGTTTATTATTTCTGCCTTTTCACTATTACCTCTAACTTGTCTTGTATTTCTCACTCTTTTAGCTTCTAGCTCAAAAGTCTTTTTCTCACTTCTCCTCTCTTCAGCCAGACTCATAACCAGGTGTGTTGCTGCTTTCAGCTGAGTGTCTGACTGGTTGCTGTTTCTTTGCGTTGCTCGTGGCTTCAGTGGAGAAAGAGCTGCCAGACAAAGCAACAAAAAATTCACATATTTTGCGCTTCTTTTTGAAATACAGTATAACTGGTTGCAAATTTATGCATACCCCTTGAATTTTCTTACATTTTTGCAATGTTACAGCCTCAAGCCTCAGTGAAGTTTTTTGTGATTACAGTTTATTTTGTAGACAAAGTTGCATTTTATAGTGAAGCGGAGAGAAAAATAAGCAAGGTTTTTTAAATTAGAGCTGAATGATTTAATTGTGATAATTGATACTTGGAAATATTGTCAACTAATTTAGTAACTGATTCATTGTTAAATTGATCACTGAGAAACCCCCCCCCCAACATATTCAGGGAAATAATTAAGCCAAAGCTGTCCAACAATATCTACACTTTCCATTAAGGATAAAAAAAAAAAAAACTTACAAATATGTTTTACCCGGAACTCTTGAAGTAGCATGGTTTTATAGTTTTAGCCTCACCTGGTTCAAATTCTAAGAAGAAGTCTCCTATCAGGAGATATTTTTAAATCACTATGCTTTTTAAATGTCATGCCTCTAACTAATACTTTCAGCAAATATCTTTAGGCAAAGTTAATAATCCACATTAAGGAAGATAAAAATATCCACTCACTCCTCGGTAGTCTCGGGTTGTAGACTCCAAACAGAAATCGGAGAAGCCACCGAGAGGCCCATTGTAACTCTGGAGGAGCTGCAGAGATCCACAGATTGTTGTTCACTCCACAAAACTATCCTTAAGAAAAACAGATTAGGATCTAGTTAGGCGAGACGAAACTGAATTATTTGGTTTACGATCTTGTTTGTCACGTGGAATCTCAGTTTAAAACTTTGCGGTTTGTGGTTGTAACACGGCAAAAACGTACAAAAACTGAGCAGCAGAGAAAACCTTTGCAGAGCGCTGTGCCTTAATCAACTGAGGTTTACCTGTACAACAGAGGAAGCAACAATAACTTTGAGGAAAGCTGCTCAGCCTGAAGCTTTTATCACCCCGGAGGCTTGCAGAAAAACCCCCAGTGGTTGACAAGTACTGGGTTTCTTTTTTCAATTTGTTTGCCCCATCTTATTTCTGCCAGCCCCTGGAGAGCATGTTGTCAATATATTTCTGTTTTTTATCCACAATAGAGGCTCAGGTGTTCAGTGTCAGTGGCTATCGACGGTTTCACTGGTCTTCATGGGAGTCGGTCTCATTGTGTTGCAGTCGTTCAAACATGAAAAGCCATACTAAGGTTTAAACTAAAAAAAAACAAAACATAACTACATCACCAATTAATCTTTTTAATTTAACGTCTTGTGAATATTTTAGGCTTAATTTGGTAAAGGCACCTCTGTTCTGCCTGTACAGTTTAAACAACACAAGGTGGCGCTCCTTTGTTGGCTTTGAAAGGCAGCTGGAGGCCACTGTTACTATTTTTCTCTCTTCTTTTACTTTCTGCCCCTTTTTATCAGCAACTTTAGCGCTAAAATGTTCCCACTCAAGAATCGATTTAGTTTGGTTCTGTCTCAGGCATAAACAGTTTGTCATTCAGTATAAGGTTATTCTGAATCTTCCAAAGTAGTATTTGAATTGACCCTGAACATTGAGATCATAAGTGGTACAGCCATTGGTCACAGAATCAGGTACAGAACAGCTTTTATCTTAAAACTTTTTTGCATGGAAACATGGTTCTGATTTGCTTTCAAAGGTTTGCTGGAACGAACTCTGAAGTTTTCAAGTGCCAGTGTATCTTCAAGAGACAAGTTATTATTAAGCAACTTAATGCAAAAAAAATTATAAAATGTACACAAATTTTGTTATAGGAAAACAAATTAGGCCTGGATTAAGCTACATCCTTGCCAAAAAAAACAAAATCATTAATTCACTGAACACAAAATGCTTGTATATTCATGCCCAGCCAGTAGGTGGTGATAATGTTCATATTATCACATTATAAACATCAAAGGAATACAAAGAAAGATTAATCTGAGCCTTGATGGTCGATTCTCCTAAATAATTATTTTGATCATTTCCTCTCAACAACAAACTCTTTCAGCAGCTAAAAATAGAAGAAAGCTTATTTAAAAGATAAAATCTGTCAAAACTATAAAGTGGCAGGTATTTACTAAGTAGGTTATGGTGTCAAATATAAACCACAAACTCTGTTTGTGTCTGCATTCATCTTGGTATTCTTGCTGCGAAAAGGTAAATACACAATAACAATCTCTTTCAATGGACTGCAGTTTGAACTGCATTAGTACACAGTTTTAAGGACCTAAAACATGACAGGTTCATTGGGGCGGGGGATTTGTAAATACTCACCTCTGCCATTTTCCATCCTGACAGCAAACATTCCCCCAGAGGGTTTAGCTCTGAGACTGCACCGTAAAAAAGGAAGTGGATCTAAATGCGGTGCTTGTCCATTGTTCATGTTGTTGGTTTGTGGTTCGGTAGCAGTGTAGGTCTACAGTCTTCCACTGACAGCATTCTGAAGCTTGTTTGTTGCTACCGTTTGACCAAGCAGCAGTCCAGCTCTTTTTCTCCTTAGTTCAGGTAAGATGCTTCTACAGTTGTCATTGGTCCTACAGCTGCATAACAACAAATCTCACAGTTGAATAACGGCAGGAACTCGCATGTAATGGATACAACTGGCTCGTGAGCACATATTGGCACAATTTGACATTTCGGAAATAAATTAGCATGATAAAACGTCAATTTCTGGCGGGGGGATAAACAGTTTCGGTGCTATGGTGAGGTGGGCTTTTTTTCTGTTTGGCCGTATCGAAATTAATGTATTTGACTAAAATGCAGAGAAAACACTGAATCAACAACCGTTGGCGCAAACCAATGGAAGAAGACAACAGGAAGTAGTTAGAGGATCGTGGCGCTGCATGTTTTTTAACGTCTCACCGCGTGAGCAAACTTATTTACGTGTGATTTTAATTGCGTTTTTTATTTCATGGAAACACCGCAATTCTCGTAATTTTGTCTTTCCGGCATACAGTCAGCAGCCGTTAAGTGGACACAGCATAACAATACGGCATTAAAACTGTACATGCTTATTAAATCGTTATGTAATGTTCTAGTACCTGGAAGGAAGGATTTTTGAGCTTTTATTAGCTGCAAGCCATAAATTGATAGAATTCAATCATTTATTTCTATTTTTTTTTTTTTCAGTTCAAGAAATCTACTAATATGTATCAAGTTTCACTTTTTGAACTGAAACACTGAAAAAAATCTGCGGATTGATTTTAGTGTTACCTTAGCAAACATAAAAGGCCCAAATGTGAAAGCCCTGTTTTAAAGTTTGAATAAAGCAGTGGTATAGTGGGACTGGTGTAAATTAAATTCTTATCTAGATCATTTTCATAATACAAACATAACTGGACAAGCCAGAAATTTAATTTATGCACTCCCCTATTATCCCCACACAGAAAAAGGCATATTAGTTTGTACTGGTCGCCATCTGAGGAAGGTTAATTTATTCAGATTTTACGTAAAAATTATTGATACAAATTTGTTTTTCAACCATGGAGGAGCTTTTTGTACACCACAACTTTCAGATATGTGAAAATTTGGCATGACCTTCTGTGTTTCACGTAAAAAAAAACAGATTTTCTCCAGCTTTTTCCCCCTCTGGTGTGTTTTCTACAGTGGTGTTTCTGCTGGTAAACGTCTCCTCAGTGTCTCTTCTCTTCACCCACATTTCACACCCGCATTTTGTTTTTGTTCACCTGAGACGCTGCTGTGTTTTCCCCAGATGCAGAGAGAGCTGGACAAAAACATATCGAAAGAACTGAGACACGGTAAGTGCAGCTCCTCCTCCTCCTCCATCTTTAAGCGTGCGGGAAGGAGCATCGGCAGGTGTTAACCGTGGGCCCTCTCTCAGCCACAGCGGAGCTGGACGCCGCCTCGGCCCGCCTGTCTCCTGTGGGCTCCGCCTCCAGAGTGGAGCTGGACCCCCTCAGCTGGGCCACGCAGCAGTATTTGGAGGTGCTGAAGAAGAACCGTAGGATCTGAACACACGTTTCTGCCAGCCACCGGAAAACTAAAGCCAAGACCAAGAAACTAACGCTTTTTTTTTTTCTTAAGTCTTCTTGTCATGAAATAAACTTGACCGCACGTTGCACTTACCTCCCCTTGACCCCTCACGGAGTGAGGGACGGACGAGACTCTGAACTAAAGACGACCTCAGAAGTATTTGTCTTGCCGGCTGAAACTAGTTTTGATTTGTGAATTTTTGGTGTTTTGGAATTACCGCTTTTAAGTATTTGTATTTATCATCATTTTTGCCAATTTATGACATTTGGTACATGCCATCCAATGGTGCAATATCTGTGGTAGTACTGATATAGAGTTGTGTCGCTCTCGGTTTATTTGTTCTTTTATGTAATGAACAGTATATACTTGAACATGACGAGCTGGAATGAGGTCCGGCTATAAAAACAGGGTGACCATGGTTTTACATTTCAGCTTATTGTTGGTTTGATGAAAGGGACAGTCGGTTTATATTTTGTTCCATTATTATTTTTTGTTGTTTTATATTATCTTAAAATACTGTAAAATAAAAATACAAATACATAAATATACAGAAAGGTTTTCAAAGTAACGTTTCATTCACTGCAACAACAGTGGAATCAAAAGTTTGTACTCTGCATATATTAGTATCTAAAACTGAACAAATGAAAAGCTATATGGAGCATCCAGGAAGGATTTGTTGTCAACATTTTCTACCTAAATACAGCAAATGTTTTAATGTAATCTATTCCAATATGGGTTTCCCTTGACTCATATTTACAGTGAAGGAGAAGACATAAAATGGACAGCAAATCCATCTGAAAAATGATCCGAGCTGCTCAGATTTTACAGCAAAGCATTCCCAAACCGTGACACATAGAGTGTGCATCCTTAAAATGTCTTAAATTTGTTATTCTGAAATTAAGGCATTAAAATGTCTTAAATTCACTGAAAATGTGTATGTTGGCTTTAAATGCGTCTTAAATTTAGTTTCTTATTCTGGTGGGACTGTTCATTTCGTTCCTCGGGAACTAGCTGCTCATATACTGTTGCTAGCTGCCCCTTTTTCCCTTGTGAGTAGTTTTAATAGTTTTTGTGTTTCTCTTTATTTTTATTATTATTTTTGGTTGCTTTTGTACCAAAATAATACTTTTGGTTTTGGTTGCTTTTGTACGCTCCTTCTGCGTACTTTCCGCTATTTTCACCGTTCAACTTTTATACCATTCAGCTTGCTATGCTAATGCCGGCTACATCTTTTGGTGTTCATAGCTAAAAGAATGCATGGAATGGCATGCATACTTTTGACAATATTCAGTTTTTTATGAATTTTTCATCCCCATAGAAATAAATGGAAAAAGAGGAAGAGCTCACCCTGCTGGTAGAGTTGAGAATTAGGCATACGCTGCCTTTTAAGGTTTATCCGCTTTATGCTACTTCTACTGCTGTTCCAACACCAGCGCAACAGGACTAGCTCCCTCCTGTGGCAGAGTTGAGAATGACAATATCTACTGTTATTTGGGTTTTAACGTTAGCTTTAGCTTTTAAGTCTAAGTCACTGTGTAGGTCAACATGCAGGCCGCAGCCAAGAAGCTGCTAGCATTACTTTTTTTAGCCAGCTTTGTTTAAGTTCAGCTTTTACATGGGTTCTACACAAACATCACATGTATTTTTTTTTAATTAATTTAAAAAAATGCTAAAGACGACTTGAATAGGAAACATTTAAGGATATCTATTGGGGGAAAGCATAAGATTGTCTTCAGCCGCTGTTTAAACGAACCCAGACATTTTAGAACAACGCGTGAAGAGTCCCGGGTTGGTGTCGTTCAGATGAGACTCGACTCTCCGTCGAGCCTTGACGCGCCGCCATCTTCAACCCCAACTCTCATTAGCTGTGTTTTGATGTTCTCTAAACCCCCCACCAGCCCCTCTCCTCTGCTCTCCTATCCTCTGCTCTCCTCCTCCTCCCACGCGAAGCCTGATGATATATGAAACAATTTTCCTCCCATTAAGACGAGGCGCCGTGTTTTATGACTCGCCCCCCTCCGGCTCGCGCGTCTCTCCGGGCTTTGATATTCAAATCTCGTTACGTTTATTTTTGTTTCCTTTGTAGCAGATGGGCACATCTGACAGACTGACTATCAGGTGTTTTTATTACCACTTTCACCCATTATTATTATTATTATTATTTATTTATTTTATTATTTTTTTTTATGCAGACGCGCATATAAACCCTGCTTTGATTGAAGAGGTTACAGCCGCCGTCACGAGGATTTGGAGGCAGATAGAAAGAATCAGAATAAAGAGGAGCTTGTTTTATGTTTTTTATTTATTTATTCATTTTTGATAAAAAAGCAGACAGCTCGGGTTGCAAGCAGTCTAGTCTCCATTGGGTCCAGCAAGATGTCCGTTTGGAACCTCAGTGATGTCACGAGGTTGTCACAACAGCATCATTTAGGCTATTGTTAGATTGCAGCCATCATTTAAAAAATAAAAAATCTGTTTTCGTGTATATATATTGAGTTGATCACAAATGGGTCAGATGCGCGTAAAGTTGCATTCACTGACCTCATGCAGAAGGCCTGTCGCTTTAACTCAAAAGGCAATACAAGATCACAGGTTTGACTCCTTCCTTTTTTCTTTTCTTTTATTTATTTATCTATTATTATTATTATTTCACAGCTAAAGAACAGGACAAACACAAAACCTGTCGTCTCTCGCTTTAATCCCTCGTCGCGCGTGTCAAACAAGGCGCTTTTAAACATGAAGGAGACGCTTATTGTCTCCAGATCTCTGCGGGATCTGACGAGCCTCATCGGGAAGCTGCGACAGCGAAAGACGCGCCGCCAGCAGCCAAAAATAAACCTCTAAGTGGCCGATGAAGACGACGCTGTCAAAGCCTGCGCGGTGGAGCAAAGAGGCCCGTTTAAATCACGTCAGAGCAAGCGGATCAGATTTAGGCGTCTCCGTGGCCCACAATGCATCTGTGTCATTTAGAGGGTGGCGGACGAGCGGCGTGAGATAATCGCTCAGGTTTGTTCCACTTGTCAGCCTGGATTTGTTCTGACCTGCAGCTACTGCAGAAACACTGCAGACATAACCCGTGTAAACCGTCCTATTGATAATCGAGTACTCTTGTCCACTGTTTGGACGATTAATCGAATATCAGCAGGTGCGCTATTAACCACTTGAGCCTTTTTATTTGTACAATATTTGAAATACATTAAAACATAGAACAAATAAAAGTAATTTGATTGCTTTAAAAAAAACAAACAATAAAACTCTTCACTGCTTAAAATGCGACAAGAGCATGGAGCGAAGCCAAGAAATAAAACTGCTAATGACGTTAAAAGCTCATCCCTCTCTGCTCAACATCAACATGGCGCAGTACTCATTTATTGGCTATGGCTTTTGGATCAATGGGTCAATAATTGAAAAGCTAAAAGTGCTTAATAAGACATATTTTGCTTTGCTGTAGAGAATTTGATCCGAGTGACGCTAAAATGTTGCCACTTAAGTCATTCTGAGTAGAATGGAAGCTGTTTTTTGTTTGTACAATTTTACCCAGTTGCTCCCAAATGTTATTTTTTTTTTTTTTTTTTTTTGCAAATGAACATTTTTTTAGTTTGATTAGTCGAATTAGCAATTAATCAACAGTTAGATTAACTCATGATTATTTCAGCAAACGATTAATCACGATTAATCTCTCAGCTCCAGTAATTCCTTCCACTTTCGGTTCTGGATCAGACAAAAAGACTTTCCACCGGTCAGCGGGTCAGTTCAGACATGTCTGCCGTCCCGCCCGGGGGCTCAGCTGCGGTGGCAGATCTCGCAGCAGTCCAAGCAGAACTCCAGGAACTCGACGGGCTCACAGCAGGACTCGAACAGCACCGAGTGGCAGTGGGCGGGGCATCCCAGCTCTTCGCCGGGCGCGTCACGGGCTGCCTGGCAGCAGCGGGCGCAGAGGCAGCAGGAGGCGCAGAGGCAGCAGGAGGAGCAGGCCTCCACCAGGCCCAGCAGCACCACCGAGAACTGGCACCACAGGCACGCCAGCAGCAGCCCAAAGCACGAGTCTGCAGGCGACACGACACCAGGATCAAGACGACTTGAGTGATGTTCCATAAAAGGCTCTTTTTGTTATTTTTTTTATTTATTTATGTGTGTGTGTGTGTGTGTGTGTGTGTGTGTGTGTGTGTGTGTGTGTGTGTGTGTGTGTGTGTGTGTGTGTGTTCTCAAAAACAGGGGGATTAGCGACTCTATTAACCCAAATTAATCTCCCGCATTTGTTTGTTTGCGGTGTCAAGCGAAACTTCAAAGAGGAAAATCTTGTGTTTACTTAATCACAGCTTTGTTCAGTCCTCCAGGGAAAATGAAGACAGAAAAACCCACAGAGGCTTTCAGGGCTAAAAAAAACAAACAAACAAAAAAACAATCAAGAGGAAGCTGTCACATGATAATTGCTCTGCTGCCCAAATTAGGCGCAGACCAAATTGCATACGTTGACCTCGTCTGTGTGCTGCGGTGTTTGTTTTGGGTTCCTCCTGTATTCTTTTATTTCATTTTATTTATTTATTTATTTGTTTTCATCTCTGCGAGGACAAATGAGAGCGAGCTGCTGCAAATCCAGCTGTTTCATCCTGTTTACTGAAGGAAGCCAAAGGAAAAGAGAAAAGAAAAGAAAGGAAGGTGTCAGAATTCCCTGCGGAGTGGGGCTCAACATCTCCCTGCTTATCCCGCTGATTTATACACACCCCAGATATCACTCGTGCTGATGGACGTGTGCAGATGAAAGGGAGGCGCCGCGTGTCGCTCCAGAATTGATTTGATGCGGCGCTTCACAGAGACGGCAGCGTGAACCCGCCGCCAGACAAGCGGGAGACGGAAGGGAAGCAAACGGACTCCGTGTTCCGGGAAACTTTCTGTCCGGAAAGTTTCTGCGTTTGGTTGAAACACGACCGAACGAACAAGACGGGCCCGACTTTGAAGAGTTTACCGCAGGGCTCACAGAATAAATCAGTCATTCTGTTTCACATTTTCGGCAGCTGGGAATGTTTGGTGTTTTTTTACCGGGATGTTTACGTGACAGACCGGCGGGAAGCAGAACAGTGGGACGTGTTTATGGTGTGTGCGGTCTCAAAGTTTGACCCGAGGGAAGCGGAACAGCCCAAACACAGCCTCATCAGATCAGACAGAATTGGTGTCAAACGTTTGTGCAGCAAAAAAGTTTTGTTGGTGCCGATGTCATTTTAAAGATATTAAGAAATGTCTCCAGAGGTCATGAAAGGTCAACCAGCCTCACTATTGTCTTCACATCAGATAAAACTGGTGTCAATCAACTCCACTGTGTTTGTGCAGCAAAAGGTTTTGTTTGTGCTAATTTGACTTTGAAGATAATTCTGATTTAGCAAAAATGTGTGGAGGGGGCTGGTTGACCTTTATTTGATAATTAATTGACAGGGATGTGAATGAGAGAAGGGGGAAGACATGCAGCAAAGGTTGCCAGGCTGGGAATCAAACCTGCGACAGCCATGCTGAGGACTGAGGCCTCCATATGTGGGTTGTCTGTAACCTGCACCACCACAGCACACACGACCTTTTGATCTTTAAACCTTCATTAATATCTTCAAAGCCAAAAAACAAAAAACTATTTGGTGGTCAAACATTTGACATCAATTCTGTGATTTGAAGAAGGTGTGTGTGTGTGTGTGTGTGTGTGTGTGTGTGTGTGTGTGTGTGTGTGTGTAGGTGTTGTGTGTGTGTGTGTGTAGGTGTTGTGTGTGTGTAGGTGTTGTGGGTGTGTGCGTGTGTGCGTGTGTAGGTGTTGTGTGTGTGTGTGTGTGTAGGTGTTGTGTGTGTGTGTGTAGGTGTTGTGTGTGTGTGTGTGTAGGTGTTGTGTGTGTGTGTGCGTGTGTGTAGGTGTTTGTGTGTGTGTGTGTGTGTAGGTGTGTGTGTGTGTGTGTGTAGGTGTTGTGTGGGTGCGTGTGTGTGTGTGTAGGGGGTGTGTGGGTGCGTGTGTGTGTGTGGGGCGGCGACTCCCCTCAGGTCAAGGAACAAGCTGTGTCATGCATCCATTACCAGACCCCTTTGTTATTAAACTCAGGTGGATTTAAGTGGCTACTTTGACTAGGCCGTTCAAGTAGACGAGTATAGATGAGTCTGTCCATATCTTCTCCAGTTTCATTCAACCTCTAAATTCTTATTAGTAATTTAACATTTTATTTTTAATGTATATCTGTTTAAACGGGACATGCGGTTTGCCTGCAGATCCAGGAGCCGGTGGGTCGGGTCCGGGTCCACTTCTCTTGCTCCTGCTCCTGTTGCCGCGTACTGACGTCGCCGAGCCCTGCGGCCGGCTCTGGGTTTGCGAGGCAGCTTCGGCTCTGCTCTGCGGGACGGGGAGGCCGCATCGGGGACACGTCGGCCTCTGAAGGTGACGGCGAGGCGTCTCCGACACGCAGCGGGCCCCTGAGGCCTCCGTCAGGCGGGCTGGAGCCGGCAGAGGCTGGGCTGAGCCACACAGACAGACAGACAGACAGACAGACAGACATGGGTCATGTGGCAACAAGAGGAGACTGACACACTCTTCTTTTATTAGCTTGTCTTGAAGAAGACCATACTTCTTCTTCTGTGATACTAAAGACACTTTGTGAAAGTGAAAGTATTGGGTCTGCAGTCACGAGAACACAAACAAGAAGAAGATGAAGGATTGTGAACACTTTTTTTAGTGACCTGGTCTCACCTGACAGTTATTTTGTAATCTGCTGTTTCCTAACAACAACAACTCAAAGTGGGTAAATGTTCAGCCGGGCCGTGGCGACTGTGAGGATAATCAGCGTAATCGGTCCAAACGCAAATGCAGCAATTTCATCTAAAACCATGACTGCTTTCTCATTTGTTGTCCAAAGCAGAAACAACAACAAAACTTAACAAACATCTTACGTTTTCTTCTCAGCAGATGTTCAACTTTAAGAAACCATAACGAGCAGCGTGGCAGTGTGAACCTTTTCCACTGCGGCGCCTCAGTTTCCATGTGCTGCCCATGAGCTCAGCGCTCGAGGTATTTCCTCCGCGAATGGGGGTCGCCCCCTCAAAGGAAATCCTCGGCTGAAGGCTCAGTCAGCTGAGAGGCCGGATCGTATCTGCACTCATGTTGGAGATGAAGCTCGGCCAAAGAGGGAGCATGTTCACCACAAAAAGTCTCAAAACGTCGTCCTCAAAATGCCTCTGCTCTCCTTCACCGAAGAGATCTACGGAAAGCTGGGATGAATTTCATGTTTGTATTTTATAGATTTTCACAGAAAGAGGATAATAGATTTATTTATTTTTTCTTTCAGGGAGGGGAAAAGGGGAAATTTGCCACTTTGTTTTCTAAAAAGAATAAAGTTCCTCCAAACTTTCAATCAATCAATAATGAAAGCACATTGTATTGCTTCGCAGTTGATATTTGCTGTGAAAAAAAACTAGTTTTTCACGAGTTGTTAAGTCTTTTCGGTCGAATGTTTTTGATAAAAATAATGACAGATTTAACTGATTCACACAGAACGTAACCAATTTTTATTTTTAATTGACTTCATGAGTTATTTTTTATATATATTTGTACATTTGGTATTCTTTACCCTCCATACCGGACTATTTTTAATTTAACAATATAGATGGAAGAGTTCATACGTTACTGTCATAAATTAGATTTTAAAAGGCCCAAAATATAAGACGAGACGGTAAATTTTATATAGCAAAACACAAGTTAAATATCTATTTGTACACATAAAAAAATGTTAGAATCCTTTTAACCAAATAAAGGTGCTGATAGATGAAAACTATAATTAAATGTCTCCATTGTTACATTACATTTTTACTAAATCAAAATCCCCAAAAATGACAAAATCACAGCTGGCACAAAATCTATTAAACATAACCTGATTCAGATTCAGCTTAAAACATTTATTCTGAAAAACAAACAAAAAGTGGACTTTTGTTTTAACGACCTGCCTAACTTGATGCACATTAAACCACAGACGGTTCAGTGAATTCACATTAAAACCAAACCAACATGTCTGCCACTGAAAGGCGGTCGTCCTTCAGAACCAGCACGTTTCTGCACCTATGAAACCCACAGATCACACGGCCCGTTTTCACTCGCGTCAGGTTAGACCACCGGCACTTGCCTTCAGTCGGCCTCTTTTCCACGGACGCGTCTTCTCCCGGCGGCATGTCGGACCGGCATGCTTCTCGCGCCGCCGCTGCAGGACCTTCTCCGGCCTTTTGTCTGGAAAGGGTCAGGAAGCCCCCACAGCAACACCCAGCATGCTGACATGAGTCACTGCCTGTGTAAGCTGCTCTGTGTGGGTTTGTTTTGTTATTGTCCGGCGCCTTAACAACACTCCTCTTCCAAGCAGACCCTGTGTGAGCGCCGCTTGTGAGCCGGGGTCATCGGAGAGGTCGTCGCCTTGTTTCTGCTCTCAGTCAGCCAACACGGCGGAGGCACATGCTGCACAAGTGTGCTAATTAACAACAAACACTAATAGCAACTGGGGATGCGGTCATAGCACAAGTATTATAAAAGAGAGGAAGAAAAACATCTTAAATAGCCAACATAAATTGGCCCAGATTTTCTTTGTTTTGGGAAATCAGTGAATGACCTCTAAGTATGTGAAACCAGCCTAAACTACTAACCCGCTAACCTTAGCATGTTAGCCAACTATAGCTAGTACAATGATGTGTGTATGCTAAATACTACTACAACACCAAAGTTTTCAATGACCGCCGTTGAAACACAGACTGTAATAAAATGTCAATATTAGTTTGACTTGACTTGAGTGCTGCATTCGAAACAGTCGTGACATTTTATTATCCCAATTAGAAAATTGGGTTGGCATTTCCGGTGTAGTACTCAGCTGGCTTAAATCTTACCTGTCCGACAGAACCTTTTGTGTTTCCATAGGCAGCTTTAAATCCAAGCTGAACGAAATTACCCATGGAGTTCCCCAGGGGTCCATCCTGGGCCCGCTTCTTTTCAGTATCTATAAGCTTCCATTAATGAGATTACAGTCAGGTTCAAATACTCACTAAATGTACTGATTCATTTCTGGATGAGACGTAACTTTCTCCAACTAAATGAAAACAAAACCGAAATATGAGTGTTTGGACCAAAAGAACACAGATTAAATATAATCAATCTGTTGGTTTAAAATGCTCGGACAAAGCCAATAATTTGGGGGGGTGATCATGGATCCTGATCTGAACTGTAATAATCACATCAAATATATCATAAAAACCTCACACTACCATCGAAAAAATATTGCTAGAGTTAGACGACTCGTGTCCCCACTAGATTCTGAAAAATTAGTTCATGCATTTGTTTTTAGTAGACTCGATTACTGCAGTGGCATTTCTACTGGATTATGAAAAAATTTAAAAAAAAAGCAGTGAGACAGCTGCAGGTTCTCCAGAATGCTGCTGCAAGAGTCCTGACTAAAACAAAAAGACATCAGGACATCAGGACATCAGTCCAGCTCTCAGATCCCTGCACTGGCTGCCTGTTGCTCAAAGAACAGAATTTAAAATCTCCTTAATAGTTGACAAACCCAGACCACATTTCTGATCTTCAGCCATATACACCACTCAGACCTTTAAGATCATCAGAATCAAACCTAACTAGTCATAGCTAAACATGGTGAAGCAGGAATAAGCTTCCTGCTCACTGTAAGTCGGCCCCAGCCTTGAGTTTATTTAAAACAAGCTTAAAAACCTTCTTAATGAAGTTGCCCATTCTTTTTTCTAAAAATTCTATTCATTCACTATATTTGAATTTTTTCACGTTTACTCTATTTTTAATCTGCTTGATTTTATTTCATTACTATCTCCTTGTATGTTGTTTTTAGCTTTCTTGTATGAGTACTATGAATTGTGCAGCAACAATTTTCGTTTGTGCTGCTTTGGCTGTGAAGATATTAATGAAAGGTTAAAGGTCAAAAGGTTAACCAGCCCCGCCCACCACTTTTATGAAATCAGACAAAATGGGTATCAAACGTTTGCACAAACCAGTACAAACATAGTCGAGTTAACTGACACCCATTTTGTCTGATTCGAAGAAGGTGGGGGGGGGCTGATTGACCTTTGATGACCTCTAGAAACATTTCTTTATTTCGTTAAAACGATGGCGGCACAAACAAAACAATTCTGCTGCACAAACCAGCACAAACGTTTGACACCAATTTTGTCTGATCTTATAAAAGTGGGGGGCTGGTTGACCTTTTGATCTTTAACCTTTCATTGATATCTTCAAAGCCAAAGCAGCACAAACGAAAATTTTTGCTGCACAAACGTTTGACACCAATTTTGTCTGATTTGAAGAAGGTGTGGGGGAGAGCATCTTCACTCAGGTGATTTTATGAGGGGAGCCAACAAATCGAGGCGCATCTCTGTGAAGCTTTACTCAACCGCCTCCAACAGGTTTTCTTCCGGGACTTTCTTCCACTCCTGACCTGCTCCCCTGTTCCTCATCCAGAGGGATGAGTCACCCACCAATTTCCACAGTGGAGACAGAGTGTTCAGCACGGTCCACTTCTTCCCCAAATTACTAAACCATTATGGGCCCGCAGTCCACCAGTTTATGAGTCCTTGTTGAGCCGACTGGTCCCTTGAAGGACGGCATTGTTATTGTTCTATATGTCGACGAGCGAATGAACAACCGACCGGCCTTTTTGGATCGGGGGAACAAAAAACAAAACATGCTGTCAAAAGTGCCGCGCTTGACAACATGTTGGTTGCTTAGCACATCAAAGCGGCACACGAACGAAAGCTGCTGAAGTTGTCGAGCACGATGCTAACTCTCAGTCAGCGGAGGATGTCAGGCGGCGAGGCGAATCAAAGGCAGCACTGAGAGGCAAACAGCAAACCAAAAGCAAACATGTTATCGGCAAAGACAATTACTGACATCAGTCGAGACAGGAAGTCTTTTATTCCACGGCGAACAGACGCTGCTTCACCCCGTCTCAGTGAGACGGCGTGACGCACTTTGGACTGTCTGTTCATCATTTCTATGTTTTATTTATCTGCTCTGCAGAGGCGTCAGCCCAAATCGGAGCTAATTGAAGCATCTTGAGAGACAAACAGAGTGATCTGAGTAAATCTGCTCATTGGTTAACTTTATGCGAAGCTGTTATTTATAAGACAGCATTTTATTTTTTTTTTCCACGTAGGATCAGATTTTAAAAGGTTTTCTGAAGCGATTTATTACAAACACAAAACACAAAAGGTCAGGACATTTGTTTGATTTTGGAGCAACTTATCAAAGAAAAATATATGAGTTGAGCAGCAGAATGCTCAGAAGTTGCAAAGAACTTTTTTTTTTTACCATCAATATTTACTGGATATTTATAACTATATATCTGCTGTGTTCAGTTGTTCACTACTGTTATTGTGAGATCCAGCTACACATAGATGGACTCTATTTCGGTGACTTGAGAAAAATCATTTCAATTCTAAACGGGAGACATTCGGACAACAGGAAGGAACCAAAGATTTGATAGGACTTTCCAGAATAAAAACCGAGTCGAAGGTCATCCCAAGGTGCCTAAACAAATATTTGCTTTGTCTTTGCAGTTATTTTTTTGTTTTCTGGTGAAACAATAATTGCTTCTCTTTTTTTCTTCATTCAGCTGAAGAAAACCTTCAGTCATCCAACTTCGGGTTGAATCCAGACATTTCAGTAAAATGCGGATTTTCAAAACTTCATTTGGAAGACAAGAGATTAACAACGGGATGTCATCACCGTAAAAATGATAGGAAAAATCCTTAAAAAGACGACAAAATCGGAGAAAGTACAGCAGAAACAACAATGGTCCCCAAAGCAGAGCCCTGTGGAACACCAACGTGAACAGGACATGAGGGGAAACCATTTGAACCGAATTGGGGCAAATATTTAGGGGATGTGAATACTTTTGTGGGACACCAGGAGTGGACTAAAGGCAATGATAATAACAATAATAATAATAATAATAACAATAAAACACTGTGCAGCGTATTAAAATGTACAATAAGCTGACACATTTTATTCAGTGACACACATCTGACCCACACCTGCGGACAGAAACTTCCATTACAACGTGCTCAGAGTCGACCTCGTCTTTATACAGTGGACAAGTTGCGGTGGTGAAAATAAACCTGCCGAAAATAAATAATCAAAGAAGACAACGTCTCTATTTACAAATCCAGTCCGACAGAACCCGCCACAGGGAGCGTGACCTCAGTACACAAAGGTCACGTTTTGTTGTCTGGAGAAAGACTGGGAAAAATCGTTTCCAGCTATTACACATTACCGTCTCGCTCACTTTTTAATTACACACGAACACGGACCACAAACAACCCAATAAATCCAAATTTAACTCGCAACTTCTTAACACACAGGTGAGACTTTTACTTGTCTGTGCCTAAGAGAGAATTCACTAACGCCATTTTGACACAGATGTTTTGTTTTTTCTTTCAGACACGTGCTTTGTTGATGCATCTGTCCCAGTCAGCCTTTACAAAGAAGAGGAAAAAAAAATCACTTGGCCTAAAAATGAAGAGTTACATTTAAAAAGTCTAACTAAGTTACTTTAAAACCCAGGGTGACAACAACAAGAAAAAAAGGAGAAAAAAAAACGCCTAATTTAATTCAAAATTCGAATCGTTTTCAGTCATTAAACGTACAATTGTCGCACATTTTTGTCTTGACTGTGATTTATCCCACATCTGGAACTGGATGAGGAATGCAGGTTTTAACACACAAAGATTAAATTATTTCATCATCCATACAATTACGTATAAAACAGCTTCCAAAAGAGTACATGTCTTTGATCCAGTACTGTTATACAGCCTTACTAAAGTATCTGCGACCTCTGAACTTCATATTTTATCAAGATACAAACACAAAGTTGAATGTTTCGTTGGGATTTTCTGTGAGAGAGTAACTGGTAGAGCTGTGCAAGTGAAGACAATCTGACTGGTGAAAGAAGGCTTTGTGTTAAAGTTGATAGATACAGGAGGAGAATCTAAAGACTGCAGGAATCCTCCCCATCCATTGTGAAGCACAGTGGCGCCAGCGTCATGCTGTGGGGGGCTGCTTTTCATCAGCAGGAGAACATGAAAGGAAGGCGGCTGGACTTAAGACAACTAACGATTATTTTAGAATCAATTTTTCCATCAATTATTCTGACAATTAATCGATGAATCGGTTGAAATAAATCGTCATATTGAGCAGATTTTTCTTTAACCATGAAAGCCTTTTTTTTATTATCCAATATTAGAGATACATTACAAAACTCAAATAATACATAATATTTTTTTTTTTTTTACAGAATTAGAAGTAGGTGAAACTAAAACAGTAATTTGAGGACAAAGACTTTTTTCTCTTCATCTTAAATGCAAAATGTGTATATATATATATATATATATATATATATATATATATATATATATATATATATATATATATATATATATATATATATATATATATATATATATATATATATATATAAATATATATATATATTATATATATATATATATATATATTTTTTTTTTACCAGTTTTGGCTTAATTACTGCTCTGAATATGTTGTTCTTTTGGTAAATTACCTTTTTTGTGAGTCTGTACACTCCAATTAACGATTAATCAATTACTAAGTTAGTTGACAATTATTCCAATGATTGATTAATCACGATTAAATTAGATTAATCGTTTGTAATTTCGCATTTTGCAAGAAATCCCATTGTGGCTGCAAACAGTGGGGAAGATCAAAGGTCACAGACACTTTAGCAAAGTGTCTGCATTTCATTTCAAACCCTCTTCAAATCAGACACCTCAGTAAAGTTGCCTTAGTACCATCTCCAACATCTCAGGATGCTAAACGAGTGCTGCTTGAAAGGTCAAAGGTCACTCGAGGTCAAACAAAAGCTCCTCGCCGTTTCCGTGGATCAGAGGCTGCAGGCTGACCGGATTGAGTGTCGGCAGCTGGCCCTCGTCGTCACCGTTCACTTTCTCGAAGCAAAGTTGCCTGAGTGAAACAAGACAGAAAAAAGAGAAGCAAAACCGTGTCAGTCATTTTGGTCAGTTTTGGGTTTACATTAAGCTTCGTCTTACTCACTGCTGGACGGGAGGAGTCAGGTTTCGTTTCCGGCTGCTGCCGTCGGCTGCCTTGTCGACGCCTCGAAGGGTTCGGCTCGAACGCTCCCTCTTGAGGCCCGGCAGCGAGGCCTCTGCCAGCGCAGCCTGGAGAATATTTGAAAATACAAACTGAGAAGCTGAAGCTCCCCGTCTTCAGAGAGCTGCTAATTTAAAAAGGTGCCCAGAAACGTCGACGTCTCACCTGGAAGGTGGAGTGCAGGGCGGTGCCCAGAGACAGACTGGAGCAGACGGTTTTTATCAGAGATGGACTCCTAACAGGGTACAACAGCAGGGAGGTGGATGTTATTTATTATAAGGTAATTAGTGCGCACATGTGAAAAATAAAAAATATATATATATAATTTTATTAAAGTGGTTAGTTTCTGGACCCTAGAAAGTCTTTTAAATTTGCAATAACTATTGTTCATTCTTATCTACTGCTGATGGAGAGATTTGATAATGGCTACAGCACCAACTTAAACTTTTTCACAATTACAAAATGAATTAGTTAAAATTGTTTTTGTCTTTAAAGAGATTCTATTTCAAGTTGAGTTTTTTACTTTAAGCATAGCACAAAAAAGCACATTTAAATGTATTTATTGACTTCAGCTTCTTATGTCCAACTGAGACATAACTATGACCACTAGATGGCAGTGCATCAATTCTGAATTTATTGCCTGTATGTATTTGATGAACTTGTCCATTTTAAGCCGACATTGTTTTGTTTTCTATCAGAACAATCAAAGTAAGCTTCAAAGGTGCAGATTGAGCACTCCTTATTTTGCTGAATATAGTACTAACCATGTATGTACTAGTTAAATATCACTCACTAAGCGATATTTCAGTAACGCTTTCGCTAAGTGATACTGAAATATTGCTTTTCACAAAGCGATATTTGATGAAAGCCGATATTTCACTAAATATCGGTTTCGTGACATTTGATTCAATTTTGCTTTCACTGAACAATATTTAGAAAATATTCAGCCAATAAAGTGATATTTAGCAAATATTGCTGGGAAAGTGATATTTCACTAAAAATCGCTTTCTCTAAGCGATATTTAATGAAAGCAATATTTCACTACATATCACATAGTTGCTGTAATTCAGGACAGAATGTGTTTCCTTGCTATGACAGAACAGTAATAATCAAACATCATCTTATTGGACCTCATGCTCTGGTCCATGTGATCAGAAGTTGGGCGTTACTGCACCCTGTGATCTTCTGGGACCTCCTCCTCTGGTACTCCTCCTCATCCACCGTCCACACGGCGCCTTTCACGTTCTCCACGCGCACGAAGCACTTGTGCAGGCTCAGGTTGTGGCGGACTGCGTTCTGGTTCAGAGTGACGGAGACGGTTGTGCTGAAGCGGGTCGGCCGAGACGCACACGCCGCAAACCGCCCGGCCAAATATTCTGCTCACCTTCCAGGTGGCGGCGTTCCGCCTGAAATACGCGAACGTCCTGGTGAACCAGTTGTAGATCTCGTTGAGCGTTAGCTGCATGTCTGAGGCTTCTGTGATAGCCTGCAGATGGGCGCGGAGAGCAGAAATATGCGTTTAGTGTGTCATAAAGTGAAAATAAAAGGAAGTGCGTCATAAAATCTCATGATACCTTTTTTGTTTTCCACTCTACATTTGGCATTAGCGAATCAACACGATGCTGCCCTGCAAATGGTTTCACACCACTTTAAATGCATTTTCTTTAAGTAGTAGATCAGAACAAAGCGGTGCGTTATTGTAAAGTGGAAGAACAATGATGTCTGGTTTCACATTTTTGCACAAATATAAGTCTGAAAAGCGACGCGTCTGTCTGTATTCAGGCCTCCTGAGTTACGATGTGGCAGAACCGCCGCTTGCTTCGATTAGCGTGGCGTATGTTTTGGATTATGCCTCCTTCTGTTTTGACAAAAGCAGTTGGACAATCTCTTCAAAATGTCTCGAGCTGAGTCATACTTTGACAAGGACATTTTTAACAGATGGAAAATGTTGGTCTAAACCATTCAATTGCAGTTCTGGTTGATTGTTTTTGGTTCTTATCCTGCTCCAAGGGGAAGTTCTGCTCCAGTTTCCTGAGTTTTGCAATCGTTGACAGCTTTTCTCACTCTTCAGCACCAGGTGTGCGTTTTCAGGAGCCCATTCAGTGTCAGTTCTCTGTTGGTCTGGTTTCGCTTCGTACAGAGAACCTCGGCTGATGAGAAACAATTTCTTCCTAGAGTCGTGGACTCTGTTGTTCTAAATTTACCCAGTCGCTAACGTTTGGCTGTAACGCATGAAATGCGCAAGTTTGATGACACGAAGTTAACAGGAACCAACCACTCTCCACTGCAAAGAGAAAAGAGCCGAGCCAAACAAAATGGCTGTCATTGGATATTTGGAAGCGTGGCTAACGCAGACTGAACGGCTACGTTCACTTCCTGCACTTCCATTGATAAAACGAAATGCTGACTCGATACTAAAACAACACAGGAAAACAACGTCATTGTTCACAACTTCTCCTTCTGTTTCCTGATTGAAATTCTATTGGAGAGAATCCAAGGCAATGGGAGAAATCCCTGAAAGGAGATGAAAACAGTGTGAAAGTGCGTAAGAAGGCAACGGTCAGGCTAGATTTTTTTGCCACGCATTGTGGTAGAAAACGTCAGAAAAAGTTTGGTTTGAGTCTCATATCAGTACTTGGTTCAGTGCTTCATCCTGGAAACTAACGATCAGGCTCTAAATAAGGCCTGAACATTCAGTATCACATAAAGACAGTTCCCAAAGTCGGCCTTCTGTCACCTGGGGAGAAGGTGGGATTAAAAGAGTAACTTCCGCTTAAGATCTAGAGAAACTCATTCATGAGTTTATCTTATCAATTACTGCAGCGGTTTCCTCACAGGTCTGCCTAAAACAAAACAACAATAAAAACAGCTGCTGCTCGTGTCCTGACTAAAGCCAGGAACACAGAGCACATCACCCAGTTCTAAAGTCCCTACACTGGTACTGGTTCTGCTCTGCATCCCCAGAACCAGAACCATGGAGAAGCAGCATTCAGCTTCTACGCACCACAAATCTGGAACAAACTTCCAGAAAACTGCAAAACAGCTGAAACAATGAGTTCCTATAAACCACGGCTACAAACCCACCAGTTTGGATCTGCCTTTGATGAATAGTAAATGAGCAACATATTTGACGTGCTTGATGATGGCGTTTGACAAAATGTAATGTTTATTGGCACCGTGTGATGTTTTTGTGGTGTAAAGCACTTTGAAATGCCTTGCTTCTGAAGAATGCTGTTCAATAAACTAGACTTAAAATAACATAGATGTGAAAAGTCAAATGATCTCTCTGCTCATACCTGTCGGATCAGGGCAGCGTAGGTAAATGGTGGTCTGACGTCAGCGTTCTGGTAAAGTTCAAATTCATTTTCTGCAGAAGAACAAAACACAGTGTGTGTGTGTCTGATTTCAAATGGAAGATTTGAAATCAGCTACTTTCCTGACGCTTTCGGGTGAAAACCGCGTCCACCGTTTACCTGAAGACAGAGAGAACACCAGAGGGTGACGCCGGTGTCCCGCGGCCGCCATGGAGCGTCTGAGCGGCAGCTCCTCGTCTTCCTCGCGGCCCTGCGGCGGCGAGCCGGCGGCGCTCAGAGGTCTCTGGTGTCTGAGAGAGAGGGACGCTTTGCTGGCCAGCGACGCTGGACGGAGCTGAACAGAAAAAGACGGACAGGAAAAACAAAACCAAAGAAAAAAAAAAGTGAGACATTTCCTAAGCGGGCGTGACAGAGCGATTGGACTCGGCTCCTCCGACCCGCTTCGGCTCAAGCCGCGATGAGAATGAAGCCAATCATTGTTAATTACAGGGTGAAATTGTTTGGTGAGTGTTGTGATTAGGGTTCAGTGTTTGCGAGATTAACAAATGATTAGTTTCCGCGTTATCGGAGCATGTCCGCCGTCTGGAAGCAGACCGTCGGCCCGTCTGGAGCCGACAGCTGGGAGACAAAACTACAAAAGAGAGAGAGGAGAGAAAAACAGGAAGAACGCGCACAAGACTAAATATATTAGGATTTCCAGCTTTGTCTGATCTAAGAACCACTTTACAATAACACTGCACTTACAGATAGCATATGTCATTAATTAGTCTCTAAACACTTTATAGATCATTAATAACTGTTTATTATGCATTAAGTAAGGGTGAGAAGGAGACTAGATGTACCGGTTTCTTGCCAAATAATGATCCAAATCTGTTCCTGTATACATTTTAAACAATCTTGTAAGCACAATAAACATTTGTAAACGTCCAATTTTTTTGCTTATAATTTCCTTCTCGCACTTACTTAACGCATAATAAAAAGTTATTAATAATTTATAAAGTGTTTATAACTATCTAGAAGCCATCGATAAGGGGAGACTTATTGTAACTTTTTGTAAAAATACCAACGTGCCTCAATTACAGCCTGACACGCTACACATCTGCAGGAGAAAATGACGTTTTATCTCCTTATGTAGCACGTCCCTGGTTTTCCTGAAATGTTTCCACCGCTTTAACCTCTGCAGATCACTCCACACTGTAAAACATGAAAATACTTGGCTTAACTTGAAAATGAAAGCCCACCTGCTGCCTTGAAAATGCAATTAAAATCAACAAAATGAATCATTTTGGCTTTAAATAAGAAATTCAAGTTCACAAAGTTGACTTGACAATGAGAGACAAGTTGTGTAAACTTTGATTTTTTTTTTTGAGTTGATTAATCTTGAATTGTGAGTTTTAACTTGATGCTAGAATTTAGACCAAATAATTATTTCACAACCTGCGAGAGAAAGAAACTGCCTTTCTCTAGTTAAAGAGTCACATTTCTCTATTATTTTTTACTGACAATATCAAAATAATGTCTTATTCTATTTTACAGTAAATGAAATTCTTTCAAATCACATGAGCAAACTTTTCTGATCTGACAATGACTTCTGCTCAGAAACATTTAGTGTGAACAGGACATTAAAACAAACATTTGCCTTAATGAATCACAAGATCAACGCAGGTCATTTCCATCTCGGGATACAAAAACATGCCGCTAAGCATTCTGGGAAATAGCGCTCACTCGTGTCTCATCCTTCTTTCAGTTTCGAAAACTGAAAGAAGAAAAAAAAAACAAAGAGTTTTTTCCAACTCTTGCAGGTTTGACAAAACAAATAAAAGGTTCAGTTTATCTTTCACAAACTCACACACTTAGGTGAAAAATCTAAAACTCGCTATATTTCATTTGAAGACAGCGGACGCAACTGATTGTGGCTCAGGTGTTTCGCGGCGTACCTGGGGGCCGCGGCGGCTGACCGCCGCGTCGGACTTCGCTGACTGAGCGCGCGGAGAGGGCAGGCGCAGGTGAGCCATCATCACATGCAGACGCTCCTGTTCTTTGCAGAGCTGATCCACGAGACGAGGCGGCGTCGTGGCGTAAAAAGAAACCAAACAAAACAAACAAACAGTGAATCCGGCTAATTAGAATGGAAGCCTTTCATCCGAAACACATTTTCCAAAACAAAACAATTTCCCGCTGCGTCTTAACATCTGCTGAAAGTCGGCGTTGGCTGACCGACGTAGATCCAGAGCTAAGTAAAACAACAAGACAATGAATCAGATTACGGTTGTTTTTGTGCGTTTCTTACGGGAACAGTTAAATTCTTGCGCGCATATGATACTTAAAGTTGTTTGTTATGGAAAAACGAAACAGACCTAAATGAGGCAAAAAGTGTGAAACAAAGTTTTGGACGTAAAGAAACAAAAACAGGATCATAATGGCTACGTTTAAGCGCTGAACAGTTTCCTTTCTTTTTTTTTTTTCTTTTTTACAATGCATCTAGAGCTGGCTAAAGCTGAAAAATACGCATTTGTCTTTTTCGTGGGACTCAGTCGTGTCGAATCTAACGCGATTCTGGCTCACCTGCAGCTCCAGCTGCTGGACCACCTGCATCTGGACTCGACACTGAGCGGTGCTCCGGTCGTCCAGAGTGTGTTCGCTGCTCATGTGTCTGAAAAACAACGACAAAGAAAGAAACATTCAGTCACTTTTCTGAGAAGCAGGTAGAAAAACACTCTTCTGTGCAGATGACAACGTGGCGATATGTCAAAAAAGCAGCCATAACTCAACTGATGGGATAAATTCAGCAGGTGATCGAACCGACATCCTTTGGAAGTTTGACTAAAGGACTACAGTGCGTTATCATATTGTGTTCTCAATTAAAAATTATGATTGTGATTAATGATTGTAAGGTTCATCCATAACATAAGGGTTTGATTTGACTATTTTACATTTTATTTAAAGATCATACAGGCAGCATGGACGATAGAAAACTGTGGAGATGAAGAACTTTTAAAAATGTGTTTTTTTGTTAGCTTGACTTTGCGGAAAAAATAAGTTGACTGGTAAGTTAATTTTAATTTGAATGTGTGTGATTTAATTTTAATAAAGCTTATCTCTTATGGCCTCATATAGAAATGTCCGTTTTTATTGCACCTAATCTATGAAAACACATTTTATACCGATGTTGTGTCAAAATAACACATTTCAACACATACTTGTGGCTGTTTGAGAGACACAACAGTTAATTTTAACATGTTAAAATTGGACACATCATGTGTTGTTCTTGACATTTGTTTATCTTAGCCAGTATTTTATACTTTTCATCTTTTTTTTCCAACTCCTCTGCATTTTTGTAAAGAATCTGTTTGATATATTTATCATCACAGTAGATCATTTTTTTCTTCTTCAAAAAGTGCCAGGTTTTCTACGAAAGGTGAAGATCTCAGACGTTTGGAGCTACAGGGGAAAAAACAAACAAACTCACTGGACAAACTGGGCGATGTTTTCACAGACGGACTCACAGCCGGGCCAGTTACACACTCCGGGACCGAAGAGGGCGCGCGCCACGGCCTGGTCCCCGTCTGCACCGCTACTGGATGAGCGAGAGAAAAAAAGGAAAACTGACACATCACTTAAAAAAAAATAAAAATTATTCAACGCCTAAACTCCTGACAGGAGACTCTAGTTTTCTTTTCTTTTTTTTTTTTTGGGTGACATGAAGTGACAGGAAGAGGTGGCGGGTAAGACCGACAAATAAACGGAAACCTATTTCACTTTTGAGTCGGGGACGTGTTCTCCAGTCATGTCGACTTTCTTTTTCTTTTTTTTTCCATTTTCTGTGCTGCACCACCGCAGGTGGAGGAATAAAAAGCAAGACAAAACAGCAGCAAAACAAAGCAGCCCACTGGGAATCGAATCCTCAAAAGCAAACGTCGCCCTCAGACAGAGAGGACGTCTGCAGACTTTTGCAAAAACGGCCGAACCGCTCCAGAATAAACGACCTCACCGATCCGCTCCAGGAGGAGACTCAGACGGCCGATCCCCGGTCGGCTCGACTCGAGCGGATGTTTCCCGGATCCCGTTCATCGCCGTCCTGTCATCCGAAAAGGCCGATCTGAGTTCCTTCCACAACCTCTGCGTCTCGGCGGGTCCGAAACAGCCTGTTAAGTTGGTACAAATGGTTTTCGTCCTCATCAGTGAAAGGGAGGAGAGAGAGAGAAAAACCAGCAGAGAACGGCGCGCTGCGAGTTCCTGACCTGGACCTGAGGAGAGGCCGGGAGGAGAGGCGGCCGGTTTCTGCTGGAACATCAGCTGCTGAGCAAGAAGATTTCACATCAGGGAGGAAAGTTTGCTTAAACGCCTCGGAACGAGAGATCAGAGCATTCAGTACTGCTGGATGTTTAGTTACAAAAACCAAAAAAATATATAAACAAAAAGTGCCACAAATCAGTAAATACATAAATAATATCATAAAATAAACATGTGATCATTGAATTAAAATGAAATCAATAAAAATATATGACAATTTTAGTAACTTAATATGTCAGCTGCACAACTAAATGATGATTATATTTGGAACTTAATCATTCAAATGTAAATTCATCATGATAACGTTGAAACCCAGGCTGGCTTCTGATTGGTCGACCTGCTAACCAATCACATCGTCTGCAGCTGTTTAACTATAAAATAAATGAGCGTTGAAATCAATATATATATATGCTTCCAACATGATGCATTAAAGTCTTAATACATGATTTCTGCACTTAGTGTAAAAGTTACTAAATATTAGATTAATAATAAAAAGATTTATTACTTTAATATTTGATGTCTGGGTATTGATTTGCCAAAACATGACCCCAAATAACCCAATAATTATAATTATGAAGATACTTTATTAAAATAACAGACAAAATAAAAATACAATTAGCAAATTTAGTACATAAATTAGAAGTAATAATAATGACCTTGTATTTTTATGATGTAAAGCTCTTTGAAAAGCCTTGTTGCTGAAATGAGCTGTACAAATAAAATGCTTATAAACATGTTTAAAGTGTAGAAGTCAGGGACTTTGTTTAATGTCACTCTTTTTTTTTTCTAGTCATTGTTCATACACCTGACTGATTCAGATTTAAATTTTGTTCCTGATAGGAAAAGACAAGCGTCTCTTGAACAACGTGGAGGATGTAAAAAATGTGAAAACAAACCAAGGACAAAAAAAAAAAAAAAAAAACCTGAACGGATCTCTTTTCGTTTCTATTTTCTCTTCGAAAAATGATAAAAACTTAATCACTGACAGTTTATCTTTGGTGCTGAGCTCCACGCCTCCTGTCCATCACCCTGATCTTTCGCTCTCTCTACGGATTCCCTGCCACTCAGAAACATTATTAACAGGATTGTCAAAATAAAAGATTTCCCAGAAGGCTTTACTTTACCGGTATAAACAACTCTTAAAAAAAAAAAACAACAACACACAAACGACGAGATCAGTTTCTCTGATTTTACTTCATATAGGTAAATGTTTGAACGAAACAAAAATTTTTCTTTTATTCTACGAACTCTTGATAAAGTGTCTCTGAAATTCCAAGCAAACATTTTGTATTTATTTGCAGAAAATGAGAAATGGTCAAAATAAGGAAAAGGATGCAAATAATGCAAAGAAAAGAAGCTCATCTTCATTTAGAAACAGCAAGACTGTTGTTTCAACTCAGGAAGAGTTCAGAAATCAACATAAGGTGGAATAACCATGAGGCGTTCAATGGCTTCAGCTCAGTGAGTCACACATGCACATATAGGTGTTGATATGTGTAATATTTTTATGATTGAACATCTTTTACCTCTTTGACTTTCTTGCTGGTTCGCTGTTGAAGCTGCTGCTGGTAAAATTCCTTCAGGTGTTGCTAAAACAGGAACAAATAATTCATTATTTCTGCTATTCAGATGTAGAAACCCACCGCCTGCCGATAGACCAGAGACTGACAGAACGACAAGGCGATTTTTTACGAGCGCGCTCTAAAAGGTTTAGAGCCTAAAATCGATTTCCGCTGACAGCGACGTCTCCGCTTCGCCTTTCGCTTCTTGACGTCAGCTTTAATTCTACAACATGCTTTCTGTATCGATGTGTAATGTTGTCCCAGTATTTCTGAAACTCAGGCGACGTTTCTGGATGGGATGTTTTTTACATTTGTATCGTTTTCTGAAAAACTAAAGGAAATCGCGCTCACTGGGTCTAAATAAGCATTAGAAAAGAAGACTGTTGTCAGAGAACAACATATGCAGACATGACCAAGAGCAAAATCATTTGTTTAGTAGTGCTTTTCTGTTTGGAAAAAAAAACATCTGTTTCTTAACTCGTTTATTTATTTTTATCTTACCATTTATCAGCATGTTTAGGCCAATTTTAACTAATTTCCGTCGCCAACACAAAATGTTTTTGTACGTACCACTGTATGACATATTTATCTGGATATATCAGAAAAATATATTTTTAAAAAACTCTCAATAATCATATCAGTTAGTTTTGTCATAATATGTCAACATTCTAATTAGCATTCATCTAATTAATTTCATCTGCATGGAAAACTTGCACTTTTAAAAACGTCTCCGTGGAATGACTCCAACTCGCTCTGCTGCAATATTTGCAATCTGTTTGCGAATTACAAACATTACCACAAAACAAAATCTCTACGCTCGGTTTGGAAGCGGCGTGATGCAGCCGTGCGCCGACGTACCTGCTGGAGCAGGAGGGCTTGCTGCTTGTGGCGGATCAGAGCCTGCAGCTGCTGCAGCTGGCCGGGCGGCAGCAGCTGCTGCAGCTGCTGAGGAGCCATCAAGGCCAGGAACACCTCGAAGATGAAGAAAGACGGGATTTAAAAACGCACACGCACACACACACAACCACAATCTACAGAGAGAAGTCAGGAGTTTTAATAATGGACGTAATCAAGCGGGAATCTTTCCAATTACACATCAGGATTGCGAACGGCTTTGTGAAACATCATCATGCCGCTGACCCCGAATGAGACGGGAGACGGGCCGACCTAATTAACGCCATAATTTCATGCTGGTTGTGGCTTCTAATAGGAGTGTATGGTTATTAATAAACGCAAACACCTCCGGAATAATAACTGACCTGTAAACTTGGTGATTGAGCGACAAATGACTGACTGATCACCTCCCATGCGGCGGAAGCCAGAAACAAAAGCAACATAATGTTCTGGACAATTTCAGCTAAATGGGCCACTCATTTTGCTGAAATGAGGGGCCCATTCATTTCGACGTTATCGATATGTTGGATCGATCTGCATTTTTATCTAAAAAGCTAAACAGTTCAGCTTTTTAGATGAGACATTTAAATAGATTAAGACAATCGAGCGTCGAATTGTCGCACCAAGAGCTGAAAACATCAGTTTGCTCTCGATTGTTCAAAAACAAAGATGCAGTTTAAAGAAGCTCCATTTATTTTCGTCCCACTAAATGCCGTCCCAGTTATTTCACTTTTGCAACGGGAAACAAAATGACATGATAAACCAAAGCCGACTGCATTTACAGCAGATCGAACTCTGTGGATCTACTTGGTGCTTCGTCAGAAGAAAGTAAAAAAAGACGATTGCAAGATTATGAAAGCAGATTTGTTTGTTACTCGCTGAAATCAGTTTTTTCCTCCAGAAAGTGACGCTGTAAACGTTACATTTGCTGTCAGTTCCAAACACTTTTTAACTTTATATGTATTTTGCTTTTATAAAATCAAATGTCCTTTTTATTTTTCTTCTTAGTGTTTCTTTTCACCTTTTTCTATTATAATTTTCTTAATTTTTGGGTTTCTTCTGTGTGTTTTTCTCTCTTTTTTGGTTTCTATTTTGTTATTATGATATTTATTCATTTGTGAGAACTAACGTGTTTCTGGTAAGCAGGTGAGGCTCAGCTGACTATACTGTCACGTAATGTAGAGTTGATTTCTGGACCTCGGGCTGACAACAAAAGTGCTGATAATGTAGCTAACTCTTCTCATACAGTAAAACTTTTGAAAAGTACAATTTTGAAAAAGGTGATTTTAAAAGATACATGCATACATGAACAAAAATATGACAGAGGACTGTAAAATTGTTTTGCCGCTTTCTTACTTGCATTTAGCTCACATCATTTTGATTTTTGGGCTTTTACACTAGAGGGCTTTTACACTAGAGATGTTGGATATTTCAAACTTTGGTATCGATTTGATACCAAGTATTGCCGATACTGATATTTTTTATTATTTATGTTTTGAATACATTACCAAACTTCTGACCTGTAGGTGTTTTTATGTTGTTTTATTTTTTTTTTACAGAATTTATACAAACGTACAGGTATCTACAATATACTTGAAAGATATTTTAGCAATAAAAATGAAAACGATAGAAAAACTAAACAAATTTTTGTGCATTTTTTCCTATTTAAACAACATGTAAAAAAAATACATAATTTGAGAGCAAATCAAAACAAAAAAATTTAAGCAAAGTTGAGAAGCTATAAAAATAAAATAGTATCTCAAGAGGGAATCTGAGGCAAAAGTACCGAATGCTGATATTTGCACTTGGCATCGGTGTTATCGATATTTCGGATCGATCTGCAAAGTTGATCTTGTTCTAATTTTGCAGAACTCCAGACTGCATCACGTCTCTCCACGTTGCCGTTTCCGACTTACAAAGAGGAGGATTTGACTGAAAATGGACTCTGTGAGGATACCTGTTTGTGGAGGAGGCTCTGGCAGCTTTGCGCCCTCACTCCGCTGCAGGAGTCCCCATTAGCCGCTTTCTCCCCCGCTCCGGCGTCCGTGTGGCTGAGCAGGCTGCTGACTGGAGTTTGACGGGCTGCCGAGGGACTCAGAGGAGACTCGGGCATCTCAGCACAAGTCCTTGAAAAAAATAAATAAAGAAAGAATAAACAGTAAATAATAAGCTGTAAGTTTCAGAGTCCCGGTGGAATCACTTCTTCTTTGTTCTGAGAACAAGACGAGATGTTTATTTTAGGAACCTGCAGTGTCATTTTTCAAGAAGGTGTTGAAGAAATCGCCTCTGGCTCTTTAAGCCTCAGACTTTATTTAAAGCCTAAAGCGCAATTTATAGCCCTAAAAGAGAGTGAATTAGAAAAAAAAATTATATATATATATATATATATAAATATATATATATATAAAGAGAGAGAGAGAGAAATCTTCTACATTTATAGACATATTTGACCCAAATAAACATTTATATGGCATTTGATGCATGGTATAAATTTGATAATTTTACCAATAATTCCACACAGTGTAAGGAATCCATTCACGTCTTTCAGGCATGAAGGTGATAAACTCCTACAGATGTTTCTGTTCCTCTTTCTTCCTCATGCATAAGAGCTGAGGCAAACTGCTTGCCATTTCCAGTAACAAATTACTCATTTAAATTCCACCGTTAAACTAAACGCTGAACAAAACTTCAGCGTTTAGTTTAAACTTTTTGTCAAGTATTAAATATTAAACGAAAGCTACGTACCGTTACTGTGGGAGCCAGACAGAGATGGTGACTCCAAGAGAGGCAGGTTTGGACTGAGGGAAGGAGACATCTGCTGGAGTTGGGAGTCTACCTGAGGTGGGGAGGAGTCACTGCATCACTGAGCACCACAGCAGAAAGGATAGGAGGCGTAGAACCAGATGAGAAAAAAGGTCTCAGTTCTCTCAATTCTGGCTCCTTGGCTCAGCATCACCAGACATTCGATCCAGACCGATCCAAACAGAGAGGGAATTGATCTGAAACAACCTGTTTACATCTTGTAATTTTTACTCATTGCAGCTGCTTGATCTGCACTAATAAAACTTGTTTGCAAGTAATAACGTCCCCCCCTCCCCTTGATTTTTCTGGGAATGATCAGCCTTTTAGTGTGGAATAGTTGGGCTGTTTGTAACTTTGTTCAGCTGCATTTTCTGGAAACTATGCAAAGAAAGAGAAAACAAAACAAGAGCTCCATAAAAACGCAGCTGTCAAAGTGTTATCAAAGGCCTGTTTACAACGGTGACTGCTCTCGTTTGAAACGGCACATCAGGTACATCTATGAAGACTAAACAAGGGATCAAGTTCACATTTACAAGGCACAAATCGTTTTGCACCAAACATACCTCCATAGTTTTAGTTTTAGATTGTGGATAAATGAAAGATTGTATATCTTTATAACTTTAAAAATTCGGGGTCTGTCTGCAGTGGCACCAGCAAATATAAACAGAGGGATTTAATTATTCATTTTATGTCCTTTTTGTCCTTCACAGAGCTCAACTTTGAAATAACTTTTGGTTTTAGCGTCCCTTTCAATTTGAGGGAACAAAAACAAGGAACCTCAGGAAAGTTAACTCTACTTTATTATATTTTACTTTACCTTTTATGGAATACTTTACACTACTTTACTTAACCTTAAACTACTTAATGTTATTTTACAATGCTTTACTTTGCACTGTTATTTTGATTTACTTTATTATAGCCTACACGTTACATTGCACTGAATTACCTCACATTATTTTGCATTAAGTTACTTTACACTTTATACATTGTTACTTTACGTTACATTACTTTCCTTCATGTTACGTTACATTACATTATGTTATTCGGCATTACTTTACGTTACGTTATGCTACATTGCTATTATGCTATATTACTTTACTTCACGTCACTTTACGTTACATTACTTTACTTCATGTTAGGTTACATGACGTTATTCAGCATTACTTTACGTTATTAGTTCACGTCACTTTACGTTACATTACTTTACTTCATGTTACGTTACATTGACGTTATTCGGCATTACTTTACGTTATTACTTCACGTCATTTTACGTTACGTTATTCGGCATTACTTTACGTTACGTTATATTACTTTACTTCACGTCACTTTACGTTACATTACTTTACTTCATGTTACGTTACATTACGTTATTCGGCATTACTTTACGTTACGTTATATTACTTTACTTCACGTCACTTTACGTTACATTACTTTACTTCATGTTACGTTACATTACGTTATTCGGCATTACTTTACGTTATGCTACATTACTTTACATTATGCTATATTACGTTACTTCATGTTACTTCACATTACCTTACTTTATATTTTATTATGCTCCATTACTTCACGTTACTTCATGTTACTTCACATTGTTACTTCATGCTATTTACATTACTTTACGTTACGCTACGACACATTATGATTCATTGCTTCACAATAATTTATGCTGCATGAGTATTATCAAAATGAATGTACGCACCCACAAATGTGCGACCTTCAGCTCTTGCACACTTGGACCTTTCAAGCTGGACAGACAATGATTCTGAACTTGCCACCGGGTCTTTCTGAGAAAGTTTGGACTTAAATTCAAATTGAGGCATCATTGAGTGACCAGAAACAGGCTGTTGATGCTTGGGCTGAATGAATGCACTTCTGCAAAACAAGAGTGGTCCAGGATTCCTCCACAGTGATGCAAAGCAACTTCTTGACTGTTTGCTCAAACACACTGAGCATGACACAACCACTTATTAGAGCAAATAATTTTTCACTTGGGATCAATGAAAATTTATGGATAATTCAGTAAATACAATCCCCCTTTAAAACTACACTGCACCTTGCGCATGATGTAATTGCACTTTTTGCAAGCAGACTGCAATATCTTGTTTAATGACAGGGGAGTATTGTGTGATATATTGTTACCGTAACTACCAGTGTGTTTTATTTACATGACAGCTTTATTGAACTGTGAGAATCTCTGCCTCTCCATGTCAGAGTTTCGCACTCAAGCTGCTGACATGGATGTCAGAAACTCTGTCCTCTCTGTGAAAGTGGAGAGGCTAGGAGTAATATTGACTGGAATTAAATTGGTGAGTTATATTGGAGGGGAAAAAATACTTTTCTAAGGAGAAAACCATCTGAAATTACTGTTTCCATAACCCTAAAATTCTTGTGACACACTGGGGCAACAGCACCCAAATAGCTGATGGGGTAATTCCCATACACTGTAGTTTGACTCCACTGGGAGGAATTACAGTGGTTACATAAGAAAAAAAAAAACCTTCAAACTTTACTTACTGGTGATGTTTTACCAAAACAAAACGTCTAAAAGTAGTTTGTATTTGTTAGTTCCCTTAGGATGAACGAAACATCAGCTCCAATGTTTGAGCTCAGGACTACTGTACATATTTTATGTCCCTTCTGGCCTATTAATAGTGTTGGCCTTAGCAACAATGTCCTCTGTAACTGGACTCTGTCTGTTAAGTCAGAGCATGTCGAATGTCAGCTGGCAGGAGGAGCAACATTGCAGTTTCTTGCTGACACTCATTGTGGAGCTTCATGGAGTTTGCCGGGCGGCCGAGACCTTCCGAGGCCTGTAACTACCTCGCTGTACCAGGCCTCTCCGGCTTGTACCCAGACGAAGATGAGGACGATTTAGTTGTCGGTTTCAGACCGAAATCTTCTCCCATACCGTCCAGAAGGAGCTCGTTCTCGGACGAGGACTCGGATCTCGAGCCTCCTTACTGCAGCTCCCGGAGGGTGTCGTTTGCCGATGCCAAAGGCCTCAGTCTGGTGCAAGTGAAGGAGTTCGCCACGTGGGACGTACCCAAACTGCCAGGAAGCGACTCCATCGCTGTCGAGGGCAAAGATTCAGTGGAATACCACCTCTCGCCTTTAACTTTCTCCCTTCCACTGCCTTCCAAAGAGGTGCTTGCCAAAGTACTGAGTCAGAAAGTAGAACTGGAAACAATTGGGTTACTTCCAGGGACCACGATCCTTAAAGGAGTGGTCCGGGTTCTCAACATCTCCTACAACAAGTCTGTCTACATAAGAACCTCTTTGGACAGGTGGGCCACCCACTTTGACCTTCTGGCAGAGTATGTCCCCGGCTCCAGCGATGGAGTGACGGACAGCTTCTCGTTTAAGCTTACCTTGGGGCCACCTTTCGGGGATCAGGGAGTCAGGGTCGACTTTTGTCTGCGGTACGAAACTCCCGTGGGGACATTCTGGGCTAACAATAACAGCAGAAACTACGTGCTCTCCTGCCAGCGCGGCATGAAAGGGGGGACAGAGAAACCACAGAGGGAAAATGCAAACAAGAAAAGCTGCCTGAAGACCACCAGGTAAGGCATCTGCTGGGTTTGTTGGTTAGGCTTGCACTAAGAGCAGCACAAGTTCAACTTTGAGTGTAATTAATCTTATTTAATCACTCTAACTGCACACTCTTGGTCATTTTTTTTTCTCACTTTTAGAAGTTGAGGATGAGTAACCAAGCCATTTTAATCCAAACTGGTGTTGTTTTAGTGAGTATTTTAGTGTGATAGTGTGTTAGTGTGATTGAAAAAGAGTCATCAATCTCCACAATGTAGAATTCCTTGGTTGGGAATGGTTTCGGCTCAATATGTCTCCCAGGTTTAACACAAATGATACCGTCCCCATAAAATGAATAGACGATGGTAACATTACATAAAGTCTCCTCGTGTTCTCCTATTGTGTTGATTGGTGACATCTTCAATACAAAAAAAAAAAACATGAAGCAGAAGGAAAGACCCAAACTGAGTGTGACCTGGTTTAAATTTGATTGATTCGCAGTCAGAGTGTCTCCACTGTGGAAAACATTTCATCAAAGCCAGCTTCGTCTCAGGAAAACATGTCAACAGGTGATTTTTTTTTTTTAATTTTTTTTTTTACTTTGCTTAGAGTGAAATAAGAACAAAGTCCTCAGTGTGGAACCAAGTGTTTGAACAAAATGTCTCTGTTCTCCAGATGAGTCTGTCTGGGGGCCAGAGGTGGGAACTTTGAAAACCAAGAAAACCTCTGAAAGACAATCAACAGCTTCAACCCGAGAGGGACAGAAACTACTGGTTAGTGTCACATTTTCTTCATATATATATTCTTCATATATATATATATATATATATATATATATATTGAATTTTGCACAGTCTAAAAGCAAATACATCCCTAAACCTCTGAGGTATTTTTAGGAAGGAAAGGGAGCACATGAGGAACAGAGAACTTAACCTGATCCCGATTGCTCTTTCTGTGGGAATGTCACATGACACCATCTTGAGTGCCACGGGCGTAACATAATGCACGTCGGGACACTTTGTACCTGCTGTTTGCACTTCGTCCGTTTCTCATTTTCTCACGGCTGATAACTTGTCACTTAGCTCAAGCATTTCACTACAACATGTAGCAATAAATAACAACTCATCTTTACTTTTACTATAAACCGACTGCTTAGACACAATGCCAATCTTTTTTATGTTCAAATTAAAACTTGAATTTATGTGATAACGCCACGCCCGGTTGTCTTTCCTGTTCTGACAGAATGAAAGCATCTCCACAATGTGATGCTACCAACATCATGATCTTCTGTGGGAATGTGTGTTAGAGATGATTTTCTTGCCACACATGGTTGGAGGACAAAATGTTTTGTTTTCGTCTCATCTGACCAGAGCACCTTCTCTATCGCATGTCTGCTCCGTCGCCTACATGCTTGTATCAAACTGCCAACAGATATTCTCAGGACTTACAGTAATAGT